ATCCGATACTTGCGTTAATCTTCAGTCGTTGGAACTGCTTTTTCTCGACGATTTTAATCGCCGTCAAAATACTCTGAGGATTTCTCACCTTGGGAAAACGCAGAAGCAGTGCTTACCGGATTGATGAGAAGCGGCATCGTTTGGAGACCTTTGCCGGAATTAGACAGACGGCAAATTTCTGGCTGAAGCTAAACGCGGCGGCGAATTGCGGCGGTAAACCGATGTTGTGACGACCCATTCCGGCCATACCAACGGTTCCGCTAGCAAGTCCTTTAAGAAGAAACGTTGCTCCACAATCGAAGATAAAATTGGTTATCTGTAAGGCCGCCGCAAGTGTTGTTACTACAGCCAGGTCTGGGAGGAGAGAAACATGTGCCACAGCTGGTGGAGCCGGCGCGTGAGCACTCGGCGTAGTTGCAACGAGGAGATTGGTAAGTGGAAGAGACGTAGTCTTTGTCGCAGTCCACCCAGAGTTCTCGACCACCGAGGTCGAAGACGACGGAAGCGGGGACGAGAGGTATGTGTTGGTTTATGACGGTTGTGTACTGGAGGGTAGATTGGTCTTTTGCTACTGGGAGAAGGAGAGCTTTGGGACGGAAAGATGGTTGAGCAGATGATGAGGGTGAGAAGATGAAGAGAACTAGAACGGTACAATCAATGTGTACACCTAAATGGTATAACTCAACGATGTTTAACAAAAATCTGTGCAGATTTGGTTTTAACAGTGCATACAGTGAACATAAGCGGTCTACATACATTTACGTTACGTACACCTATAACTTGAACAGATATTGTGTCTATTTCTAGGTATATTTCAGAAACGGTGTACAGACAAAAGTATACAAAGACATGGTGTATGATGTTAGTGTACCTTATAGTGTACACGTCTGGTGTACCCAATGTTCATAAAAGATTAAACAGGAGTACATACCTCCATGTAATGTACACCTACCAGTGTACAAGACAATAACAATTGAAAAAGTACCTACTTCTCAAATATCTTTTTGAAAAGTACCTACTTCTCAAATATCTTTTCTAAGAAGCCCAAAAAAGAAACTTTTTTACATGAGCTGCGACTCTGAAACACATTTATTTTTAAGAAAGTTGGATCAACTAAATTTAATCATGTACACAGTGGAAGTGAAATTGAAGTTGGCGCAATTAGTGCGACGGACCAATAACGTAGAACTAAACCCTGAATATGTTACTCTCTAAATCAAATTCAATCAAATTATCTTTCAACTGGAACCCTCCGATCACCACAGAGGTTGACTCCATCAACGAAACCCAAACAGATGACGTCATCACTGACACTCACCATCGAGTTAGCTCTAAAGATCCTCCAAACGACGTCGTTGCTACGAAGCAGAAGCTGAATCTCCGGCGCGGCGTATCCCAGGCGCGTGACGCCGACGTTCTTCGTGCTGAAACACGCGTCGCCGAACGGTTTCTCCGACGCTACTCTCGTGATGTTCCTCGCCGCTGTTTGTTTGACGAACTCCGACGTAAAAGCTTTGTAGATCGATGACTCCAACACCGTATATGGATTCACGGAGCTGATTTTGGTTCCTCCGAATCCGATACTTGCGTTAATCTTCAGTCGTTGGAACTGCTTTTTCTCGACGATTTTAATCGCCGTCAAAATACTCTGAGGATTTCTCACCTTGGGAAAACGCAGAAGCAGTGCTTACCGGATTGATGAGAAGCGGCATCGTTTGGAGACCTTTGCCGGAATTAGACAGACGGCAAATTTCTGGCTGAAGCTAAATGCGGCGGCGAATTGCGGCGGTAAACCGATGTTGTGACGACCCATTCCGGCCATACCAACGGTTCCGCTAGCAAGTCCTTTAAGAAGAAACGTTGCTCCACAATCGAAGATAAAATTGGTTATCTGTAAGGCCGCCGCAAGTGTTGTTACTACAGCCAGGTCTGGGAGGAGAGAAACATGTGCCACAGCTGGTGGAGCCGGCGCGTGAGCACTCGGCGTAGTTGCAACGAGGAGATTGGTAAGTGGAAGAGACGTAGTCTTTGTCGCAGTCCACCCAGAGTTCTCGACCACCGAGGTCGAAGACGACGGAAGCGGGGACGAGAGGTATGTGTTGGTTTATGACGGTTGTGTACTGGAGGGTAGATTGGTCTTTTGCTACTGGGAGAAGGAGAGCTTTGGGACGGAAAGATGGTTGAGCAGATGATGAGGGTGAGAAGATGAAGAGAACTAGAACGGTACAATCAATGTGTACACCTAAATGGTATAACTCAACGATGTTTAACAAAAATCTGTGCAGATTTGGTTTTAACAGTGCATACAGTGAACATAAGCGGTCTACATACATTTACGTTACGTACACCTATAACTTGAACAGATATTGTGTCTATTTCTAGGTATATTTCAGAAACGGTGTACAGACAAAAGTATACAAAGACATGGTGTATGATGTTAGTGTACCTTATAGTGTACACGTCTGGTGTACCCAATGTTCATAAAAGATTAAACAGGAGTACATACCTCCATGTAATGTACACCTACCAGTGTACAAGACAATAACAATTGAAAAAGTACCTACTTCTCAAATATCTTTTTGAAAAGTACCTACTTCTCAAATATCTTTTCTAAAAAGCCCAAAAAAGAAACTGTTTTACATGAGCTGCGACTCTGAAACACATTTATTTTTAAGAAAGTTGGATCAACTAAATTTAATCATGTACACAGTGGAAGTGAAATTGAAGTTGGCGCAATTAGTGCGACGGCCCAATAACGTAGAACTAAACCCGAATATGTTACTCGCTAAATCAAATTCAATCAAATTATCTTTCAACTGGAACCCTCCGATCACCACAGAGGTTGACTCCATCAACGAAACCCAAACAGATGACGTCATCACTGACACTCACCATCGAGTTAGCTCTAAAGATCCTCCAAACGACGTCGTTGCTACGAAGCAGAAGCTGAATCTCCGGCGCGGCGTATCCCAGGCGCGTGACGCCGACGTTCTTCGTGCTGAAACACGCGTCGCCGAACGGTTTCTCCGACGCTACTCTCGTGATGTTCCTCGCCGCTGTTTGTTTGACGAACTCCGACGTAAAAGCTTTGTAGATCGATGACTCCAACACCGTATATGGATTCACGGAGCTGATTTTGGTTCCTCCGAATCCGATACTTGCGTTAATCTTCAGTCGTTGGAACTGCTTTTTCTCGACTGATTTTAATCGCCGTCAAAATACTCTGAGGATTTCTCACCTTGGGAAAACGCAGAAGCAGTGCTCACCGGATTGATGAGAAGCGGCATCGTTTGGAGACCTTTGCCGGAATTAGACAGACGGCAAATTTCTGGCTGAAGCTAAACGCGGCGGCGAATTGCGGCGGTAAACCGATGTTGTGACGACCCATTCCGGCCATACCAACAGGTTCCGCTAGCAAGTCCTTTAAGAAGAAACGTTGCTCCACAATCGAAGATAAAATTGGTTATCTGTAAGGCCGCCGCAAGTGTTGTTACTACAGCCAGGTCTGGGAGGAGAGAAACATGTGCCACAGCTGGTGGAGCCGGCGCGTGAGCACTCGGCGTAGTTGCAACGAGGAGATTGGTAAGTGGAAGAGACGTAGTCTTTGTCGCAGTCCACCCAGAGTTCTCGACCACCGAGGTCGAAGACGACGGAAGCGGGGACGAGAGGTATGTGTTGGTTGATGACGGTTGTGTACTGGAGGGTAGATTGGTCTTTTGCTACTGGGAGAAGGAGAGCTTTGGGACGGAAAGATGGTTAAGCAGATGATGAGGGTGAGAAGATGAAGAGAACTAGAACGGTACAATCAATGTGTACACCTAAATGGTATAACTCAACGATGTTTAACAAAAATCTGTACAAATTTGGTTTTAACAGTGCATACAGTGAACATAAGCGGTCTACATACATTTACGTTACGTACACCTATAACTTGAACAGATATTGTGTCTATTTCTAGGTATATTTCAGAAACGGTGTACAGACAAAAGTATACAAAGACATGGTGTATGATGTTAGTGTACCTTATAGTGTACACGTCTGGTGTACCCAATGTTCATAAAAGATTAAACAGGAGTACATACCTCCATGTAATGTACACCTACCAGTGTACAAGACAATAACAATTGAAAAAGTACCTACTTCTCAAATATCTTTTTGAAAAGTACCTACTTCTCAAATATCTTTTCTAAGAAGCCCAAAAAAGAAACTTTTTTACATGAGCTGCGACTCTGAAACACATTTATTTTTAAGAAAGTTGGATCAACTAAATTTAATCATGTACACAGTGGAAGTGAAATTGAAGTTGGCGCAATTAGTGCGACGGACCAATAACGTAGAACTAAACCCGAATATGTTACTCTCTAAATCAAATTCAATCAAATTATCTTTCAACTGGAACCCTCCGATCACCACAGAGGTTGACTCCATCAACGAAACCCAAACAGATGACGTCATCACTGACACTCACCATCGAGTTAGCTCTAAAGATCCTCCAAACGACGTCGTTGCTACTGAAGCAGAAGCTGAATCTCCGGCACGGCGTATCCCAGGCGCGTGACGCCGACGTTCTTCGTGCTGAAACACGCGTCGCCGAACGGTTTTCTCCGACGCTACTCTCGTGATGTTCCTCGCCGCTGTTTGTTTGACGAACTCCGACGTAAAAGCTTTGTAGATCGATGACTCCAACACCGTATATGGATTCACGGAGCTGATTTTGGTTCCTCCGAATCCGATACTTGCGTTAATCTTCAGTCGTTGGAACTGCTTTTTCTCGACGATTTTAATCGCCGTCAAAATACTCTGAGGATTTCTCACCTTGGGAAAACGCAGAAGCAGTGCTCACCGGATTGATGAGAAGCGGCGTCGTTTGGAGACCTTTGCCGGAAGTTAGACAGACGGTAAATTTCCGGCTGAAGCTAAACGCGGCGGTGAATTGCGGTGGCGAATTGCGGCGGTAAACCGATGTTGTGACGACCCATTCCGGCCATACCAACGGTTCCGCTAGCAAGTCCTTTAAGAAGAAACGTTGCTCCACAATCGAAGATAAAATTGGTTATCTGTAATGCCGCCGCAAGTGTTGTTACTATAGCCAGGTCTGGGAGGAGAGAAACATGTGCTGCAGCTGGTGGAGCCGGCGCGTGAGCACTCGGCGTAGTTGCAACGAGGAGATTGGTAAGTGGAAGAGACGTAGTCTTTGTCGCAATCCACCCAGAGTTCTCGACCACCGAGGTCGAAGACGACGGAAGCGGGGACGAGAGGTGTGCGTTGGTTGATGACGATTGTGTATTGGAGGGTAGATTGGTCTTTTGCTACTGGGAGAAGGAGAGCTTTGGGACGGAAAGATGGTTGAGCAGATGATGAGGGTGAGAAGATGAAGAGGACAAGAACGGAGAAGATGATCGGAGAAGACGCCATTGTTAGAGATGATGAATGTTGGGTTTGAAGAAGAGGAATATTGGTGTGTGTGAGTGTATTTTTTATAGAGAAGGTTTTGCAATTTTCTCTTTTTGTCGGCTAATTTGAATAATTGGATAATGGTGTGTGACGTTTCATGATTTTGCTTCTCATTTATGTGAAAATGACACTAAAAAAATTATGGTATTTGGAATTTGATTGCCATGTGAGTTTTAACTTTGATGTGACTTGAAGGTGACATAAAATGGTGCATGTTCTTGATTGTGCCTCAATACTGGCCTTTTTAGAACAACCAGTATCACCAAAGCATCTTTCTTTATTCATAGTCTTTTCCTAAACTCAAAAGGTTTTACAATAGAGTTTCAGGACCAAAATAGACAGACTTGACAGTAAAAGCACAAACATTTGAACAGACAGCATTTGGTTTGGTTTCCATTTTCATGACAATGTATTAATTACTTAGTTTGGGGATTTGTACCATCCCCATGGGTCATTTGAAGTGTAGAGAGTCACTTGCTTCACACTCAAGTAGTTATCAAGCCCCCTGAAGCAAACCAGCCAAAACCAAGATTTGTTCAGTACAAGCCATCAAGGTTCAGTCTTTTAAAAACAAGATTCGAGACAGAAAAAAGAGATGTACCATTCTCCAAGTTCTCGTCCAAACCCACTGCGTTTGACACCACCCCATGGGGCTTGGGTAAAGCATGGCTGCGAGCAGTTAATCCAGACAATCCCAGCTTAAAAGGCCTAACAAAGTAGAACCAATTATTTGTGTTATTAGATGGCATTGTTATTTCACTTGCTAATCATTTCAAAAATCTGAATGGTTCAAGAAACCGGTACTAACCTCGCTTACACGGTCACATCTTTCCGTGTCATTAGATATCACTGCAGCTCCTAGTCCGTAACTGTCATTTATCAACGAATGATTTCAGCCTCATAAGATCTTACATGATAAATTTCATTAAAACACCTGTGGCAATGGATGGGCTTTGATAATATTTCACTTTCTGGAGAAACGCACTACAGGAATTGATAACGTCCAGAAAACGCTATTTATCGCTAGAGTAGCATATTTAGAAACGCTATATCATCGACCACGACAATAGGTAAAGGACCCTATCATAGCGGTTTTCAGTTATGCTATTGTAGTTCTTTTTAATATAGCGTTTTAATATATGCAATTGTATAGTTTACAATAGCATTGTAATTATGTTATAATTTATTTCATATTACGTCATAATTGATACTTATATTGCAGCATTTTTTTGGTTTGCTATAAATTGAGATGTTATCTATTGTTGTTAATGTGGACATGTGTAATGGTCTTAGAATTAAGGTAAATCTCTACATCGTACTAAGAAGTAAAGAAAAATACAAATTTTTACTTAGATCTAATCGAGCTGTGCCGGATTTTGAGAAAAGGGCTTACCAATGAGCTCTTCAGTAGCCGGATTGACGATCGGGATTCGGTTCTTCAAGATGGGTTCTCTCCATTCGCCGTCGATGAATAGCTAGCGAGTAGGCATCGGAATCGCCATTGTTCTTATCTGAATCTAGAGCTCCGAATCGAGGATTCGCGCACTTCAAGATTTGGACTTTATAAGTAGCTTTCACTAAAGAAGAAGACTAGAGAAGGATCAAAACGAAACGCCTCCTTTTTTTTTTTTTTTATTCTGACACCAACCGACCTTGGGTCGATCAAAGTAATTGGATAATTAGATAAGAGGTGTTTTAAGTTCCAAAAAGTAAAATAGAAATCAAATTATCATTTATGAACAAACAATATATATAACTTTTTTGATGAAATTAGGAAACTAAAAATCATACACAAGGTTAATTAGAAAAGGATTAGAGATCTTTAAACGTCACTATTATTTTACTTTTTTCCAAGAAGAGAAGATAAGAGGTGAATCGAAATTAGAAAAGGAAATAAAGAGTATAATATGGGTTTGTTTGCTAAATATACACCTTTCTAAAAGAAATTAGAAGAATACACACTTTTAAAAAATATTTTGAGAAATAGACACCTTTTGCTTTTTGTGAGATAAAGTGTTGTGTAATACGCTAAACGACAAAATAACATATCAAAGATCAAATTAACCTTGTGTAATAGAGATACATATGTTTGTATACACTTTTATTTTATTTTTCTTTCCTCTTATCTTTTTTGTTTGGTATTCTCTTGTTCTTAAAGTTTTTTTTTTTAATGCTTCAAAGAGAGAAAACTATTTTCGTTGGTGTACATCAACAAATTGAACATGATGGTCGACAAGTGTGATGTACACCATTCAAATGAAGTAATGGTTTGTATATTCTCTTGTAGTGTACACCAAGTTTTGTACATGTCGTATACCAATCTCGTATTCTTGAATCATCGTGTTGTACACTAACTCTCGTACATCTGATCATTTCGTACATTGATGTTTGTACACTATCTCATAGACCATCAAGTACACCGACGAAAATAGTTCTCTCTTTTATAGACGTGGTGTACAATATGTGTGAAAGTAGACGGTACACGTACACCATATGTTGGTACACCACTATAGATTATCGTTTGTACACCGTCATACTTGGTATACCACTTCTTACATCAATATCATACATTGCCTTTTCCATTATTGTCGTATATATCAGAAGCAGAACTTGCAGCCATAACCATGGTTGTTTTTCTAGGAATAGGTCTTGTTTGTGGCTCTGTTATTGGTTGGCTCTGGCTCATCTAAACTTTTTATTGTATACATCAAAACTTATTTTGTCGAAGAATCGAGCATATAAAGCTAGCATATGACTGTCACAAACTTTTAACATAGTAACAAAAAAAGAATACTACTTTGATATATCACTACAATTTAGTTTCACTCACTCAAATTTTTCTTAGATCCTAGACGTGACAAATTTTATGCGCTAACATGGAAGTTGTTTTAAAAATGTCACACATATATAGGTATGAAACTAAAAAATGTCACATATATATATATATATATATGTATGTATAGTTTTATAATATAAATTAAATTGGAGTAAAATATCGAAGTAGCCTCTTTTCTAGTACTAGTGCCCATTACCTGAATCAATATTTTCCCCAAAAATAATGTACTGAGTACAATGTATGTGCCACTGTTCTAATTACAAAATCAATAAAATATACTATAAGATATAAAGTGGGAAGGAATCAAAATCCACTTGCGGTGTATATTTATAGGTGAAAATTAAATTTGTTTGAAAAAGTGATATAGTTTGTGTGTATTGCGATTAGTTTCCATTTTTAAAAACTGTAAATTAATAATTGTTTTGTGTGTGTAATCTTTTAAACATACTTATCAAAATGCTCATATACAATTTAAAGTAAACAATATAGAAATAGTATTTATAGTCTTGACAGTAAAAAGAGAACATGAGTCTTCAATTAAAAAAAATCTACTATGAATAATTATATGCAATATATGTATGCCCATTATATGGTCCATTAGTAGGTTTTAGAAGACTTAATCTCTAACCTAAACCCTAATGTTGTATCCCTGTATATATGTTGTACCTTGTACAATTGATCAATAACAGAGAGAAAAAATCCCTAAAATCTCTTTGTTTATAACAAAATCAAATATTTCCAAACCTCCTAAAATTCTGGATATTTTATTTATTAACCATACAAAAAAATTTTAATAGAAAACACCACCAAAATTGAAAAATAAAGCTATAAAACTTATGTTAGAGAAAACAAACATAAAGTCAAAGCACAAATGTAGACATAGAAGACACATTTTTTGTACGATTGTGACACATCAATCTTTTTAAATCAACTTTATACGGTTATACCTCAATAATATATTGTTTCAATATTTAGTTGGAAAACTGTTTTGGTAGCTGAAATCCCATTTGAGAACGCTTAGTTATTTTGAGAAGAAGTGGAGAAGATAGCTACGTCACCAGAGTAGAAACAGCCACTTGAGTCATGGCTAAGAACATGAGCTTCACCAGTCACTTTAACACACCATTCTTGACAGACACAATGAAGTTGTCACTGGGAACGCCAACATGTCTACACGGATGTAGATACCACCGTTTTCAAGTCTCTTAGACTCAAGTGTGGCATCAATATCGGACCCGTCAAGCTGGGCTCTGCTCCACATATATCACAAACAACAACTAATTAATATTGTTATGTAGACCAAACCAAACACCCCTATATACAATGTAAGTCTCTATATAAAACTAATAATAATTCTAAATTTTCCAATATATAACATAAGCTTTAAGAGGAATTATGTGGGTACCATTAGAATCCGTACCATGAGGAAAACCATGATGACCCGTGCCACCTATAACTAGAAAATCAGAGTGCAAACATTATAATTAAGTAAACTATATTTCAAAAGTTGATGGACGAAAAAACAGATATAATTATAATATAATTACATTCTCCCTCTCGTATCGGTGTTTTGTGTGTTTAAAGGTTGAAAAATGAGGAGTATTTATAGTGTTTTGATAGGTTAGTAGGGTTTTGAGTTAGAGAATATTCAAAATCTTGATGAGCAAATTTTTGATATCTTTGGAAATCTTTAAATCGTTACAAACAAAGAATATGCTACATATACTCTTAACCAAATAAAGATAAAATCATTTAGTTATGAGGCATTTCTAAATCTTTTAGTTGGATTAAATATCGAATTTATGTAGTTCATTTTATTTAGGATCCGATTTATACGTTTGTTATAATTACATATACGATTTATATATTTACTAAATTAATTATTTAATTTCGTTTGAATTTTTTTAGGAAAATCTCAAATAATGAAGGATCTGAATGACTCAAATCCGGGTCAAAATCTTGATTAAAAAAAACATGACTCGCAAAAAATGAGCAATTTTTTCTTCATCGATAAAAAAAATTAAATGATTTATTGTTTGGTTATATTTTAGATTGTACACGTATTTTTTTTTATTGATTGAGTAATATATATTCGTTTTAAAAAATTTGAATCACGTCATATGCAGAAAAAAATCTAAAATTTATTAACAATATATATTTTATAATAATTAAAAATAATATAAATATAAGATCAAATATTTCAATTCTTCCCGAGGATATGGATAACAAGTGTACACCCATTTGCTTTTGAGCAAGAGATTACTTTACATATTTTTTTAAACTCTTCTGACTTTTGCAATGATAAGTTTTCGAAATGGCGAAAAAAGTGTCTATATTATGAAATTTAAATAAAAAAAGAGAGTATAATAAGGAAATATAAGGAGTATAATTGGTTGATTGTGAGTAAAGCAAAGTGTTGAAAACAAAGGAGAGAGACAAATAATGAACTTTGGTAGTCATATTCATATTCATATGGTGTTGACTGTTGACGTTATTAGCTTTATTGGGTCGTCTCCGCTTTAATTAAGATTAGAAGCCCAATAGTAAAAACCCCCAATAGTAAAAACCCTATCTCTCAACAATTAGGGGTTCATTACCCTAGATTTGAGAAGCCAGCCGCTGTGAGTATCCTCGCTTCTTTAGCGATCTCTCTGAGCTATTCTCGCCTCTCGCGTAGTCGTATCATCCGTCCATGAGTCTCCGAAAGAACTACGTAAGTTCTCGTTAGATCTTGTTCTCTTTTTGTTTCCGTAACACTTTGTTCAAGTTTGAGCTTTTGAGTCTTAATGTAATTTCGTTACCTCATTTACAGCTCCCAGGGTTCTTACCCTGGGACTATGAATCAGTGCCTCTATCACGTCACACTGACGTCGCAGAATTCATATCCAGCGTCATCCATTTTCTAGAAGAAAATGGCTTCCACGGTTCGTTCGACCTTCTGCCTGTTGTCTCCTTCGATGAACAGAGTAAGATTACCTCTAGAGTAAAGAAAGCATTAAAGCGTCTAGGCATATTCCCTCATTTCGTCCGCAAAATAGGTGAGCCAAGAGAACAGCAAATTTCTGATATTGAGATCCGTAGAAGAATCAAAGCATGGTATGAAGGTCACCTAGCTAACAATACAAGGGGTGTACTTGGTTTGATGGCGGCTGATGGAGGTTACATACCTCAGCTCCTAGAGATTCAGAATGAGGGTGGTTTTGAGATTGTTATAATCAATCGCCCAGGAGTGGCAACCCACTCTTTCTACACAGTGTTGTCGCAATTTCCTGTCATAACAGATTCTGTAGCTATGGTCCAAAGTTATCAGAATAGTGCTGGTTTAGCTAGTGGATCTGGTTCTCGTTTTGGTGGTAATCGTTTTGGAGGTAATGGTGGACGTGGATGGGGTGGACGTGATCAGGGCGGTTATGGTCGGGGTGGACGTGATCAGGGCGGTTATGGTCGGGGTGGACGTGATCAGGGCGGTTATGGTCGGGGTGGACGTGATCAGGGCGGTTATGGCTGGGGTGGACGTGATCAGGGCGGTTATGGCTGGGGTGGACGTGATCAGGGCGGTTATGGCTGGGGTGGACGTGATCAGGGCGGTTATGGCTGGGGTGGACGTGATCAGGGCGGTTATGGCTGGGGTGGACGTGATCAGGGCGGTTATGGTCAACACCAGGCGTCAGAGTACTGTGGCCCTCTCACCATCACGGGTGAATCCGCCGCCATTCAGCCGTTTCCATCTGGTTCTCCCGAAAGCTTACTTGTGGAATTTGGCAAAATATTTGACAATTTGATCACACATCTATCTAGTGAAGAACACCATGAGCTGCAGGTAATCATCAACCATCCTGTTTTTTCTTTTTACTTGTTACAATTAGTCACTTGTTCTTTTGTTGTTCAAGCTGGCTTGGACTACTGTGCCTGTGCCTTCTCATCCACCGGTTGCTCCTACTGCCATGGTGAGTAAGCTACCAAAGTCATGTTTTCATTTCTTTATTTTAGTTTTGTTTGCCTAAATCTAACCCTCATGTTATATCTCTGCTCGAAAATCTCTTACCACAAGTTTCCCTTTCTCGCTTATAGTTTTGTTTGTCTAAATCTGACAACTTGTTCTAGTATTGTTTGCCTAACTTTGACCTTTTGTGGTTGATGTGCATTGGGTTTTTAAGCAGTTGTCCGACCTGTTGCGAATGAGTAGTGGACATTGCTTGGATGCTCAACTAACTGAGGAAAACCTAGAGGCTGTGCTCCTCGTCGGATCTAAGGCTGTAACATCGGTCTATTGGGACATGGAGACGTGTCCTGTTCCACTTGGCTGTGCTCCTCGTCGGATCTCTCCCATTGGTGCAGTAGAAGACGTCCCTTATGACATCCTGAGAGAAATCTATCCCAGTGGAATCAGCGTCCCTTACGGTTAGGATCTTTCATCTTTTCATCCCCTTGTGCCGAGTCTCAAGTCTTTAGTTTCTGAAAGTGTTTTCAAACTCTGTTGAAGGTCTTATTTGTGGCTAAAGTGCAAGACGAGTGGGATGTGGATGTGAAGAAAAGAAGAAGAACTGAAGCCCTTTGTTTTTTCTTTCTCTTTTCTTTTAAAAAAATAATGGTGAATACTGAGTTACTTTTGGTTTAAAACACTTAACTGAGTTCTCCTTTACTTTTGGGTGAATCCTCTTAATCGTCTCTGATGTGGAAAAACAGAATGTTAGTATTATATTAATGTTTTTTCCTCTTTTCATTATTTTTTTGCACCACTAATTAATCAAGGATAGAGATCATTTAATTGATATATAGTTGGGAGCTGGACTTGTCAAGTATTTATCAAAATGATATTGATTTGGATCGACTGATGAATCCTTCCATCTTTAGTTACCCATCTTGCTCTGTTTCATGAAATAAGCCCCCAAACAAAGCAATATCTAAAGTTGATTGATCTGATGAGTAAATCAGCATAAATTCATAATAACAGCCTTCTTCGCTTGGTTATTTATTTAATAAAGCCCAACCAGTGGCAATAGTTAACCGGAAATTTATTTTACTCGAGTCGAATCGGGTCGGGTCAGAAAATCAATATTCCGGCATATTCGATGGCCTTACGTTTTGCGTCTGCCATTTTTTTATTTTTTTTAATCTCCGAATCCCAAATTATTGCGAAACAATGGCTAGAAAGCCACTTTCTGGGGATAAAAAGGCTGGAATGCCACCCTTATTATTAGATGAATTAAATTTAAAGGGATTAAAATCCAGAATAATGAAAAGACCAAAAACCCAAAGTAAATATCCAGCATCAGATCTCGGCGACCCGTTTCGATTGATCCGATCCAAGCCCACTGATTATTTCGAGCGAAGCCCATCACAGCAAGCCCAACTGAGAGATAAACAGAAGAAAACGAAACCGTTTCGTATTTTCTCAGAAAAATCCCCTTTCGAAACCCTAAGTACTTCTCCGATTTCTTCTCCGATTTCTTTCCGATTTCTTCGATTTCTTCTCATATTTCATCGATTTTCTTCAATTTCTCACCGTTTAAGTCGAATTTCGCACCGCCGTTATCTTTGTTCATATCCTAATCTGTCGGAAATCTGGGGAATTTTGGAATGGCTCGTGTAAGAGACGGGGAAGGTGAATATGAATCGACGGCGGGGCGTCCGACAGAACCAGCGGATGCTTCCATGGTAGAACCTGCAAAAGAAACCGCAGATACGACAGAACCAGATGTTTCCATGGTGAAACTTGGAAGTGAAACCGTCGGGATGCAAACTGATCCGACAGAGGAAGCAGAAGTTGATGCTTCCGAGAGTCACTCAGGAAACGAAACCGTCGCCGAGATAAGGGATGATGCTGAAGGACAAGCAGCAGTTGCTGATTCCGATATTCAACTTGGAAAAGAGAGTCCGATAGAACCGAGTACTGGAGCAGTAGAGGCTGCAGAGGAGGAACTCGTGGGTGCATCAGAGGAAGAGGAAGAGACCGATAGTGCTCAGGTATACATTAGTTTGAGAATGGATTAATGGTATTCAAGATACAACTAGTTCAACTAGTGAATTAGGTTGTCTTTGAATATGAGTATATATACTTTTGATGCTGGTTCTTGGTATAATTGAAGCGGAGAATATATAGGTTTGAATTTATGTGTCATGATACAACTAGTTCAACTTATCCCGATTATATACTTGTTTGAATTGTGTGTTTTGATATAAGTAGTTCAACAACTTAAACTCCGCGATTGTGTTTTGAATATGCAGGATACATATGAGGAAGAGGATGATGCTGTTGGTAATGCTGGTGAAGAGGATGAGCATGGTGATGTTGGTACTGGTAAAGATGGTATAGAGGCTGAAGAGGATGTTGGTATAGAGGAGGAGGCTGCTGCTAAAGATGGTATAGAGGAGGAGGCTGCTGAAGCTAGTAAGGACGTTGCTGGTATAACAGCTGATGATGATTCTGGTAATGATGATGATGAAGATGATTCCCAGCCACTGCCGCCAGAGAAGATGTGCTTAGATAGTTCAGAATACACCAAAGGGTGTAAAATAGGAACTAGGTGTAATGTGACTGAGACAGTGAAGTTGATAGAGAAAGAGTTTAAAGACGAGGCAATATGGTTCAGAAGTCACCCTCAGTTCAAGCATGTATTCCACATGCCTAGGGAGCCAAACCACATGACTCAAGGCATGTGGATGCTTATGCTGCGCACAGTTGACACAGATCTTGAGAGGGAGTGCTGGTTTATGGTTAATGGAGTACCTATTAGGTACTCCATCAAAGAGCATGCGTTGCTAACTGGGTTGAATTGCAAGGAATACCCGGAGAAGCATGAGGAAATGGGGAATTTGAGGTTTGTGAAGAGAATCTTCAAAAGGACTGAGAAGATAAAGGCATCTGATGTATTAGCTAAGTTGAAGGAAAAGAAGAGTTGGAAAGGAGCTGATAAGAAGAAGTTAGTAGTCTTGTATTTCCTATGCAAGATACTAAAAGCAAGCTCAAAAAGTGATGGCAACATAGTATCCTTTCTCTTAAGGATTGTTGATGATTTGGATGCATGTGAGACATATCCATGGGGTAGGTATTCATTCTCAGAATATATGAAAGGGATCCGGAATATGATGAAGAATTTGAATGGGTCTGTCAAACCTAAAGCTCAACCTAGCTTTAGTGGATTCATTGTACCTCTGGAGGTAATCCTTTGTTTTTGATGTCTGAGTATTTGAAGTTGTATATTTGGTTTTATGATATTAACTGTGTGTGTTTTTTTGTAGATTCTGGCTTATGAGGCTATTCCACATCTTGGACTGAAATATAGAGTACCTGTACGTGCAGCAAATGACTGTCCAAGGATGTGCAAGCACAAGTTTAAAGAATCTGCCATGAAAGGTATCCCTTTGGAAGAAATATATCAAGAGCTTGGGACTAGCAAGGTTAGAGTTTCTGTCTTCATTTGATTATTTGGTTTGTGTCATGTATTTGATCAAGAGTCTAAGTTAAATGTATGTGTGTGTATTCACAGGATATTGACAGCATCTTGGTACCAGACCAATATGAGAAATCTCTGTTGGCTGGAATCATTGAAGATAATGTTGATGATGGCCTAGGGCAGATTGATATCATTGTTGACAGTTGGAGAGAGCGTCTAGTAGAAAAGAAGAAAAAGATATGGTGGGAAGGAATGTACCAGCTGGACCAGGCGTCCCGAGAGATTGGAAATAAGTTTCTTGAGAATGAAGACCCTGAGCAAGAAGTCCCTGAGCAAGAAGTCCCTGAGAAAGAGAGTTCTGATATTGCTAACCTTGTTGCATCTATAAACTCACTAACAAAGGTGGTGAACAATGGCTTTCAAGCCATTAATGAGAAGTTGAGTGACATGGAGAATAGAGTGAAGACTCTTGAAGTTGCTGTGGCATCCCATGGTCCGGTGTTTACGCCATATGGGTCGCCTGTGGAAGCACAATATGGGACAAGAACTGATTTTGAGGGTGGGCAGCCGAGTCAACCGAGTCAAACCATGGATTTGGTTATGTATAATCCCATTTCTCCAACTGTTCCAGAACAAGGTGAGTGTAGAAGTTTCTTGGTTAATTCCTGAACTTTTAAAATGGACTAATAAACTGTTTTCTTTGTACATTGTATGAAGGTGATGAGGAGGAGAAAAATAATGAGGAAGAGATGAAAGGAAAAGAGAAGAAGAAGGGCAAGAAGACAAAGAAGAGGAAGCAGCAAGAGGGTGGACCTGTAATAGCAACCGGACAGAAGCGAACAAGGGCAGCTTCCCAACATATTAAGACACCATTTGTGGAAGTGCAGCCGAAGAGAAGGAGAAAAAAGTAAGAACTATGGTTGATGTGTGGTGGTGGAGTAGGAAAAAACTAAAAAATCTTTTGGACACAATTATTTGTGTTTTGAACTAGTAGGAACTATTGTTGATGTTATTTTGGTTGTTTTTGGATTTACTACTAGTTATTTTGGTTGTTTTTGGATTTAGTTATTGTTGGTACAACTGGTCAGGTCGGTACAACTGCGGAGTCAGTACAACTGGTCAAGTCAGTACAACTGGTGGTACAACTGTGTTGTGTTGGTTCAACTGGTCAAGTCGGTACAACTGGTCATGACGGTACAACTTCGTGGTACAACTATGTCAAAGCAAAGGCAATTTTGGAAAGAAAACAAGGTCAAATATTTGTTAAACATTGTCAAATAAAACTTGGTCTACCACTTAACTAGCATTGTTAAACATTGTTAAACTAGCAATTATGTTTTACATAAGGAATACAACAAACTCGGTTTCTTAAGTACAACAACCACAACCAACTACCACTTAGCTAGCAAATCCCTCAGCTTGCTAATTTGGGTTTCTTTCTCCTCCAAACGCTTCTCAAGATCATCGAGTTGAGCACGCATAATTCGAACAGACTCGCGAAGTGACTCCAACATTAGATTTTGGTAAGCGTGGTGGATTGATTCTTTCTGGGTTTCAAATTTGTTATGCACAACACTAAACTCCTCATTAACCGCATCATCCCACCACTTCTGGAGGTGTTCTCCACCATCCTAAGCATAAGCATCAATCATCAATCATAAGAAAAACGAATTCATCATCAACAGAAATTACAAACAATTCATCATACCTCATAATTCAGACATTTGTATTCCTTTCTTCCTTGATTATTGCCAGTGGTACACACAACAAGCTTAACGTAGGTTCCACAGAAACAATATCTAGGAATTCCCCAATTACCGTCAGCTCTTGCCCAACTCATATCCTCACTCGGCTCCGATTCGGAGCTTTGAGTATAACTGATTGGCATTCTCACTGCAACTCCTCAAGAATAATCAGAAATTTAAAAACCCTAGATCCAAATCCGAATCTAGGATATACAAATCAAAAACGGAGAACCCCAAATAAGAAAACCCTAGATCCAAATCCTAATCTACAAACCCAAACCCAACCAAAAACGGAGAACCCCAAATAAGAAAACTCTAGATCCAAATCTGAATCGACAAACCCAAACCCTAGATCTAGGAATTAGAAAGCACCAACCTTGTTAGATAGGAGTCGTTCGCCGAAATCTCTGCTCTCGCCGTCGGGATCTCCGCTCTCGCTCGCCGGAATTTTACTTCTCTACTTTTCTGGGTTTCGCAAATGAGAGAGAGAGAAACTAGGTAAGAGAGAGAGACAGAGCTTATAATAAAACCCTAGATCTATCGATCTATCTTCCTTTTCCTTTTAAAAGAATATCTAAAAACAAAAATACTTTTTAAAATAAATTGAGTTTGGCGGCTGTACTTGTTTAATAGTATTAAATATGTGGGACCCATGATGGCTGAATATACTCATAGTTGTCCAGTTGTACTAGGAGCAACATAGTTGGACTTTTAACACTTTTTCTTGTTTTCAGTTGGACTAGTATTTAAATAATTAATTATAAGTTGGACAAATGATTATTCTGAATTATTTGGCATATCCAAGGGTGACATAATATTATATTTACCAAATCATTGTTTTCACGTCTTTCACTATGATTTAGGTTATCTTATAGTAAGTATCCCTTATACTAGAAGGGGTTGTTTGTGTGAGAACATCATTTTACATAGATTTTTTTAAAAGTTGTATTCGAATGTTAAAATTTTCTATAAAAGTTAATTCTATTATGATTATATTATAGAATTATTCTTTTATTACATGTTGTTTTATAATACTATCGTAGCTGTACAAGTTGTACAAGTTGAACCAGTTGAATAGTTAATGCAAAACTTATGGAACATATTGGACTTACTTGTAATAGCTGAACTCAGTATATAAACGAATACAAATACAACTTAAAACAAACAGACATGTTCTTAGCTGAACTCAGTTGAACTAGCTGAATTGTTAATGCACAAACGAGACACATACATGTTCTTAGCTGAACCCAGTTGAACCAGCTGAATTGTTAATGCACATGCGAGAAATACAAGTAAAACACAGAAACTCAAGTTAACCATTCTCATCATTGGGAGGGGGCTGCAACCAACTCTCCAAGTTAATGCCAGGCCGTGCCTTGTTTTGGGTCCTCTTTCGTCGCTTTTCCCCGGTGGATGGAAACCGGGTCTCTTGATTTCTACCTTTCTTTGGTTTGTAATCCGGCGGTTTTGCGATCTTCTCCTCGTAGTCAGCTGGGAAAGTCCATTGAGACTCATGCGGCACAACGTAAATCGTTTTGTAATATGCCAATGCCCACGTCTCGATCAAGTAATATTTCGAACAAAGACCATATATGCTTACTTCTGTTGTTCTCCATTCATTCCGACAATGCTTAATGGCTGCGGCTATACCATGGATGCAAGGGTACTTGTCTATATCAAAACACCTACAAGTACAAGATTTCATATCCAAGTCCACCAAATATGTTAAACCATCAACTCCAATTACGCTATATTCGCGTCGGTAGCTGTTAAGCTCAGTGACCGTCAACTTCGCAGCTATAGGATATCGGATATGTAATATATTCTCCACAACAGGCACCACCTGCGTTGTGTTCGATGCATTGGCAGAATCTTTTCGATGTTTGTTGAACCATTCGGAAAACTTCTCCAATATCGCATCAATCATCGGTAATAGATGGTACTTCCTTACTTCCTTAAACATAGCATTCATTGACTCTGCGGAGTTGCTAGTATCTATGTTGTACTTGTCTCTCTCAGCATGACTCCTAGCCCATTGTTCAACCCCAATAGAATTATCCAGATATTCAGCAGCTCTAGGATACCTTCTCCTAAAATCACCATACTGAATGCTGATCTCGGTCTTAGTATATATATGAGCGCATTCCTTGAATTTCTCAACACCTAAGTCCTTGTCCCCAGTCAACTTTGGCCTAAGGTTTTGGGACAAATGCCATATACAATGACCATGTGATGCGTTTGGAAACACATCCATCACTCCCTTGATGATGCTTTGATGTCTTTCGCTTATGAAAACCAAACCATCTTCATCCGGTACTACCTTTCTCAACATTCTAAAAAACCAATTCCAACTAGCATGATTCTCACTATCAATTACACCAAACGCAATGGGATAATGGTGACGATTAGGATCCTGAGCTGTTGCAATAACTAACATCCCACCATATACAGTTTTCAGAAAAGTTGCATCAATCACTAACACTTTCCTCATTGCCTTAAACCCTTCAATGCTTGCTCCTAAAGCGATAAATAAGTACTTGAACCTATCTTCTGCATCCACTTCCGTTACTGTCCCAGGATTCACCTCTCTCAACATGTGGAGATAAGCATACAACATCGTGTAGCAAACTTCAGGGTTCCCACGCATATCACTAACATGTTGTTTTTTCCCTCTCAAGGCGGTGGAGTAGGAACAATCCAAACCAAGTCTTCTTTTAACAAGAGTCATGATGGTTTTAGGATCCGGTGTTTTCAATTGACCACGGAAGTCCTCATGCAAAACACTTGCTACTAATCGTGGTGTGCCTTTTTGTTTAAAATATCTAGTACTCTCCTCACACCTAGAGCATGTATGCATGTTTTTGTGAACTCTTACACTCCAAAAATCAGATTTCTTTATTCTAGCAACTCTTAAATACCATTCACAACCCATGGAAGCTTGACTGCATTCAATCATAAGTCGCACCGGGTCCGACTTCACACATCTCACACCAAACAACTCGGCCTTTGCAGCTCTATTAACCAAATCCCATACTGCCTCCTTAGAAGGAAATTCTTGATCTTTTTCCAATTTCAAACCATCTTTCCATTCTTTAACTGTTTCCTCACTTGGTTGTACAGTCCGCGAAAGCTCAACATATTCATGCCTAACATCATTCTCACAATCTTCATTTACACCATTCTCTATCATGAGCTGTTCAATAATCGGTTCATTAACTATAGCAGGCTCTTTCTCTTGTTCTGATCCTTCCCCCCATCTAAACGCACTCAAGTTTGCTTGATTATTTACATCATCAGTCCTTACATCATTGGCAGCCACTTCCCCATAATTCAAACCGCATGAACTTCTTCTCTCTATTCTTGGTACTAGCTCCACCATCTGATTACTTTCAAGATTGCATAACTCCACATGCAAAACTGGCTAAATCCCTCTTTATCCAATGATGTTAAGAATATACAAACATCCTCATCATCTAAAATATAAGACTCTCTCCTTCCTTTACATATCATGTAACTCAATTTCATCTTCCTTCTCGCTCCGTCTATAGCAATCTTCTTACAGATCTTATCTACCAACACCGGATATGTTATTCTCTCCAAAGATGTTGTCTTAAACATTATAGCATATACTGAATTGTTGCAGTTCCACTCATGCTCTTCTGAATAGTACCCTCCATAGTCAAAATATATGTTTGTGTGGATCTTCTTCTTCATCGCACTGCAGATAGAACAAAATAAATCACTAATTTCGATACAACACTTGTAACAGTTATACCAATTGTACCAGTCGAACTACACTATCATATATGTACCAGTTGTATTATTCAATTTCAGTTGTACCATGACCTTCTGCAACTAACGATACAATCAAGGAGCTACATTCTAATTTCCCTCGGATTCAACACGATTCAACTCATAAATCCTACTATCTAGAGATTTCTACACTTACCATTGCCAAACTCTACCATTGCAAATACCTAAACAAACAAATTTCAAAGCACTTACTTGGTTCAATCAAGATCCAACAATGGAGGAGAAGAAAGAAGGTCCTGCGACAGAGTTCCGTCGAAATGGATGAGTCGACGACGAGGCTAAGAGGAGGAGCGGGAGTAGACGAAACAAATGACGAGCTCTCAAACTCGATCCAACAATGAAGCTCCAAAACCGGCGCCAGAGCTAATGTCGGACAAAGAATCGACCTCAGCAGCGAATCTTCCGTTTGTCATCGGCGGAGAAATGAAGACAGAGAACTCGATTGGAGAGACTTCGAAATCTCTCTTCTCTCAGCTCGATTTCAATCTCGATTTTGGTCCAAACATTTTCTTAGTTTTTTGTTTTAAAATTAATTCAATTTCTCCAAATAATTCATTAAGGGTATAAAGGTATAATCCACTCTATGAGTGGCATTGAGACTCTAAAATGGCAGGCAGGATTACAATTTCCGGTTCAGTGGCAAACTAGCCTTGGTCTCAATTATTGCCTTCCATCGTCTCCGATCATTTTCGTGGTGCTTGCGTCGTCTGTAACCGCAATTACACAAGTCGAATCCATTTCCGAAAGAGTCTTCCTTTGAAAGAAGAACAGCCGATTTCCTGACATTTAATTGTTGAATCATGGCGGCTACCAATGTCATGCGGCGAGATGAGAGCCTTCTTATTGATCCCCTTAGAGGTAATTCGAAGTTCAATTTTGATATATAGACCCGTGTTTGGTTTCATTCCCTTAAATTCGAGAACTATCTGTACTGGGGAATTAGGAAGGAATTGTTTTTTTTTTCGTTTCCTCGGATTGAATTTCTTTGGGTTTCACTTGCAGGAGATACTAGTGTTTCTCGTGGCCTCTCGCTTGAGAAGAAAATTGAGGCCCTTGAGAGCCTGGCGGGACAAGTGAGTGCCTTTTTTCACTCTTGTTTCATTTTCTTCATTACATTTACTGTCGAACAGCCAAAAAAAATTGTCATCTTACTAATACTTGAGATGTGATATATATATGCTTCATTATTCATCTGAATCTTTGACGTTCTGTTCTTGTGGTGCCCTATTACTTGACTAGTTCAAGCCGTTTGGCTTTGTTTGGAAGATGTAAATTTAATTGTTGGAGAGAGATTTCACGAATTTACACCCGTTTTTCTCCCTTTTCGTGGTGTAGTTTGGAAAGGGACCTTGGAAGTATAGTGAATCTATTTAAACGACTGAGAGTAAAACTAAACTTTTGGATATTAACGCATGTGAAAATTAAGCAGTATCACTGAAAATGTACCTTTGTATAGTTGAAATGTTATGGTTGATATTCTTGAGAATCCACGTATGCGCTTATCTAGTTGTTCCTGAATGATCCCTCTTTTATACAAAATTCTAGGAATTGGAGCTGTATGAAAGATTGTGTCTAATATTCTATATGGTTTCAGTTATGGGTAAAGTTGAAGGACAGGGTGAATCTTGGCATGGTCATGTGACAGCCGCCACAGTCTCTCCAGAATATCTCAGGCAGCAACTCGCATAGAAACTGATGAACCTTCTCGAAGATATCAGTGATAAGATGTAAGACTTAACAGAAACAAAGCTTCTCCAGTTTTAGTTTTCTCTTTGATTCGGATCGTTAAGACTAAATAAAAGATGGAAGCCTTAATATATTGATATTGGCTTTCAAGCAGACCATCTATTTTTTTTGAAAACCGATTTTTAGATACAGTACTTTCAAAGGAAGAAAATCTTGAGTTGCTTCTCATTGATTTTGTATTCTCTGGTACATTATACTCTTCTTAATGATTATTATACTTGTGGTTATTGTCAGATTCTTTGTTGAAGAGCGTGAAAATTTCCATTTTTGTGACTTGCAGCAGCAAAGGAGAAGCTAGTAAAGAATTGCAGTTGCTGAAATCAGGCGCTTCTGGTTTTGTTATTTCGTTGAAAGATCTGCGTTCTTCTAGGGATGTAGCTCTTCGCCAGTGTCTTGATGGAGCTTATGTTGTAAATCATGAGACACTTCAACAAGAATGAAAGCATTCTTAACGATAGTGACCTGCCGGAGAAACACAATTCTCCTGGGTTCGTAAAATTAGAGGACAAGCATAAACAACTAATAGAAATGGAGAAATCACTGTTGAGAGAGACTATTGAAATCATCCAGAAGGCGGCTCCACTGGTGATTTTTATTTCAAACATTTGGTAGTTGATGTCAATTTTTTGAAATGGTTCTTAAGTAGATCTGTGGTTACAATTATATGGTTTAATTTGCCTCTTCGACTATTTTCAAATAACAGATGGAGGAAGTCTCCCTTCTAATTGATGCTGTTTCTCGGATTTATGAGCCGTTTCTGATGGTTATAGTGGTAATTCTGCACTCAACTCCGTCAAATTGTGATTCCAGGAATTTGCATTGGTATTAGCTCAACATTCATTAGAAACAATTTAGTTACAAACTTTTGCCTGCACTAGATAGCTTGAGATAGATCTCTGCTAAACAATGGGCATGCTTCTAGTCACTTCTTCTTTTGTGCTTCTCAATATCTTCGTTAGTCCCCTATGATGTTTCGCTTCTTCTTTTGTTCTGTCTATGCTTCTCTTCTTATTTTGCTTATGGATCTGGTTATAGGAGAACTGCATTTTTCTTTACTGTACCATCTGCTTGTGGACATAGTTTTTTCGCTTTCTTGTGACTTGTGAGTATGCCGTTCTTCTAGCTATTTGGTTTGGTGGTTAAAAAGAGTCAAGAAATTATCATGTTTCGTCTAAATTTTTTGAAGCTTTGCATGTGATTTTTAGAGGATTCCAACTAGTTTTCTGTCTACTTTTGCTTTGTTTTTTTTTAAACTTGGAAAATGTTCTAAGCGCGACATGTAGCTTCTATGATTTAAAATAGTTTTCGTATGGATAATTTATTGGAATCCATAATTTGCTGGTACTAGGGGGAATTTAACTCTGGAAAATCAACGGTTATCAATGCACTTCTTGGGAAGAGATACCTGAAAGAGGGGGTAGTCCCCACTACCAATAAAATCACTTTTCTGTGCTACTCTGACTTGGAATCCGAAGAGCAACAACGTTGCCAAACACATCCAGATGGCCAATACGTATGCTATCTTCCTGCACCAATACTTAAGGATGTGAGTCCTTCAAAACTCTACCATCGCAATCCTGAATTTTTTCTAATTATTTGGAGGAATTGATTTGGGTTGTTCTCTTTTCGAGCAGATATATATTGTTGACACACCTGGGACCAATGTGATCCTTCAAAGGCAGCAGCGTCTTACAGAAGAATTCGTTCTTTCTGCTGACCGCCCTTTAACTGAAAGTGAGGTAGAAGTTACAGTTTTGCTTGGCATGTTAGTTGTTGTTTTTGCTCAATATGTACCTGCCTAAGTACCTTGTTAAATCAATTTTTTTTCACGAAAATAGTTACTTAAGTCATGTATAGACCATCAAGACCTTGTGTAGAGAAGGGGAAGTTGTCACTAGGTTGAATGCATATATCAAGGTTTTCTTGATTATTAATTTTAATTAGACTAATTATTTTTTCAAGTAATGAGTGTTATAGCTATTGCTGGAACCAGTATGTTCTTTTGGTCCATATTTTGGTAAAGCTTAGGCCAAGACATATGAGACGTGAGTTGTTATTGGTACATCAAAACTGATTTTGCGTCCGTGGCGAATTGTATGCAAATGATCATCTATGAAAGTACTAAATTATAAATATTTGGTTTTTATTTTGAAAATCGGTAGAAGAAGTTTCAATATTAGGAACAAGTTTCTCAATGTCATCATACCCATGTCATTTCTATCTCTACCTCTGCAGCTTCCTGCTGTCTTGATTGTACTGTATGCTGATTTACACATCTCATTGTGTTTGTCAGGTTGCGTTTCTCTGGTACACACAGCAGTGGAAAAAGAAATTTGTGTTTATTCTGAATAAATCTGATATCTACCGTGATGCTCGTGAGGTTTATCAGAACCAAGATATATGTCCTTTCCTTGATAGTCTTTGTAATTGCTGGATTATTCTTGACTAATGATTAATTTTACTGCTGCAGCTTGAGGAAGCTATTTCATTTGTTAAAGAGAATACACGGAAGTTGCTTAATACAGAAAATGTGATATTGTATCCGGTGTCCGCATGGTCTGCTCTTGAGGCAAAGCTTTCAACAGCTTCTTTGGTTGGCAGAGATGATCTTGAGGTCTCGGATCCTGGTTCTAATTGGAGAGTCCAGAGCTTCAATGAACTTGAGAAATCAGTATTTGCTTTTGTGGGCTTTAAGTAGGTTGAGTTGAGAAGAGAAACTTAGTATAGGATGGATCAAATGTTTTCAGGAGAACAAGATCTTGAAGTAGATATTGAAGCTGGTCGATCTGATGTTACACAAGAATCCACATCAGATACTGTTTCAGGCAATGGGGTCTGGAGTGACCGGGTGAATTTGGGTGTTTCTGAAAAGATTGCTGATGATCTGATCTATCCATTTATGGGAGACGAAAAGCAGGTAGAAACTAGCAGTCACAGTTTGGGTCTTGCAGAGATAAAATGCACTAATGGAAAGTTTAAGAAGTCGAGAAAAGCTTCAAAGCCTCCGAGACCTCCAAAAGGTCCTTCCTTGAGTGAGAACGACCGTAAGATCATGAGGGACATACAAGACCTAGCTATGAGAAAGCGTGCGAGGATTGAAAGGATGAAAAATTCTCAAAAAAGAATGAAAGCAACCAAGTCGTCACCATCATCTCCATGCATTAGCATTTTCTCGATGATAATAACGGCTCTATTCTTCGCCTTTCTGGTCTTTCAAGGTACCTTTTTCAGTCTCTTAGTGAACATTAGCATTTTTCTTATTCCCTTTTCAACTCTCAATGAATCCAAAGTTTGCTACTTTGGTCTTGATATGAGTTTGTCTCTGAAGAAAGATTCTCTATGGTTGAGACTTATTGCTTTAAAGATACTCTGATTTAACTTGAAAACTATCTAATTAGTCTTGTATCATCAGGTTCCTTGGATAAAAAGAGTTTGCTGTGTTGTTGTTTCACGGGGAAGACCAAAAATGTCTTAATAACAAATCTTTTTCCGTTTTGCAGGATTCTCCACTGGCAGTTCGAGTATGAGTTCGGACAAATCACCTGCACCAACTGTTTCACCTAACAACCAATTGATTTCAGTTCAGTTGTACAATGATTTTGCTCCCGTTGAGCAAACCGATACCAGCCCGACCACCTCATTCAGGTAAGAAGAAGAAGAACAACAATTCCTGTAACTCATTCTCATTGTTAAATCAAAGAATACACTTTCTAAAAACCAGTGCTAATATGAACAATTTCGTCCTTTGATTGAATCTCTGTAAATTCAGGTACACGAGGAAGCGAATTTCGGGTGCAGAAGAAGAAGACTCGAGAGACGTTAATAGATGAGTTCTCTGTTTGGTCTTGACTCAAACTGTTAACTCTTTTGGTCAAAGTTTTGTTCATAGGCTAAAATTTGTAAAAACCGACGGCGTTTTAAACAATGATGATGATGATGATATTCACTAACCGGGAGAGTTTTCAATTGTATTTTGAAAATAAAAGATTGTGAGCATCGTAGGAATTTCGTGATTGGGATATTTAATGAAGATGGAAAACTTGTTGTTGACCTTACAATATAAAAAAATTAATTTTTTGTTCAAAGAAAAATCTGAAAATGACTTGCATACCAATTGGATTTTGCAACGTTTATGGTCTATAACAATATCTAACATTTCAAACCCTACACAAATAAATTCTATATGTAAAAGCCATAATTGTTCTACTCAATATAGAAATTTTCTTTCTGATAAGAAATGAATTTTACGGCTGGTCTATCTTCTAAGTGTTACCCTGCAAGAGATAGCAATCAACAAAATCATTTTTTTTTTGTCGTATCTGATCATCATGGAAGTGTAATCAACACATTTTATAATGTAATTAGGTGTCAAATACAATTATATACTAAAATAGCATTTTTGACGTGGGCAATGTTTTAGTGATAATGGGTCAAATATCGTGGCCCATTTAAATTGATTCGTGTAATATGGCCCAAAGATATTGTAATTTACATTGTTTTGTTGGCCCATTTCATCAAACGACTAAATCCCAAAATATTCACTTTCCTCTGCGTTTTTCGCAGAAAACCCTAGTTCTGTGATGTACGAGAAGTTGAAGAGAAGCAGTTTGATAAAGAGATTCGTTTGAGAAGAGAGAAATTCTTATGGCGTCCATTAGCAGTGAGAATGATCCTAGGTCTACTCGTAGTAGTGCAAAACGCAGGAAAAAACAGAGTAGCAAAACAGGTGACTCGTTGTTGTTGGGTTTTCGAATCTCATTTGTCAATTCTAGTCTTTGGTGTTCAATCCCAATTAAAATGACTGCTTTCGGTCATAATTTTGTCAATTAGTAAAGTTTAACCCATCTATTTCTTTGAATGACCAGATCCGCTAGAATCTTCGAAAGTATCGGGAATTGAGGACGGCGTGGACCATCTTCTTCCAGAGAGAGTTCTTGGTTCAGCCTCCTATAACACAAATTCAAAGCTGAACATATATTCCACCCCTGAGTTCTTAGGAGATATTGCTAAGATCCTTGCCGGTTCATCTGATTTCGAGCGTCTGTTGAAATCGCAATTTGGGAAACTGTTCAAATATCCAGTATGCCAAACCGCTTACTCCGCTAGACTGATCCATAGTTTGTTATGTAGACAGCTAGTGACTAAGAAGAGGCACGAGTTATGGTTCGTTTTTGGAGGAAAGCCTCTGAGGTTCTCTTTGCGAGAATTTCACATTACAACAGGGTTGGAATGTAAACCAATTCCAAGTAAAGAGGACATCAAATCTCACCAGAAGGAAGAGGAAATCCCTGTTTGGAAAAGATTATTTGGTTCAAGAGTAAATGTTACTGCTTTCGATGTTTCGGATATGCTAAAAGATGACCTCAAATTGCCAGATGATAAGAAGATGTCATGCTGGAAACGGTTTAGCCTAGTTTTGATACTTTTGGTGGATGGTGTCATAGTTTGCAGTAACAAGGACCTCAACATAACACCGGAATATGTTAAGATGCTTGATGATCATCCGTTCTTCTTATCATATCCGTGGGGGAGAGAAGCTTTCAGTAATACAATGGAGAGGTTTGGACCTCCTGCCCAGAGCAAGACTGATCCCATCACAGAACTTAAAGCCCGTCTTTGCCAAATGTCCAGCTGTTGTTATGGATTTCCATTGGCACTCCAAATGCTGGCGTTTGAGGCAATTCCATTGCTGCTCTCTAAAATACCGAATCCAAATGACAAGCGTGATTATACGCAGATGACATACGCCGATCTGAGTACGATACTGATTCTAAATCAGAAGGACATCTTAAAGGTAGAAGCCGACAAACAGGTAATGTACACTACTAATCAATCTTTAGTATTTCTGAATTTGGTGTACCCCTTTGTTAGTCCTGCTAGTGTTCACTGTTATGTGGTACACCATATTAGGACATATTGTACACTATTCTAAGACCTGTTTTTCTCAGTTGAAGGTTGCTTACACGCTTGTGGGTGACGAGAGCGTGGAAAACATGGATTTTGGGTGGGATGAAGATGCTGTAGATGTGAAGGTGGATTATATGGAGAAGCTGCTAATAGAAGGGCATGAGTTTACTCAGTCAGAATGGCCATGTGTAGACACATCTAGTCCTTGTGTTACTGTCAAAAGTGGTACAAACACGGATACTAGTGGACTGGTGCCTCCTCCCCCAGGTGGTGTTAAAAAAGCGCCTACTAGGCGAGGTGGAGTCAAGAAAGAGCCAGCTAAGCGAGGTGGAAATGCAGAGAAGAAAAAAAAAGATGATGTTGAAAAAAAAGATGATGGAGACACTATAGAGATGTTGAAGCATTTCATAATAGAGCAACACAAAGAGACAGTAAGCACGCTGAAGAAAGAGATGGAGAAGTTATTTGAAGGGCTGACTAAATGTGACTGTGGTGGACTGCGATTTCCAAAAAACACCACAACGGAGCAAAATCAGGAAGATGGCAAAGACAACACCACAACGGAGCAAAATCAGGAAGATGGCAAAGCCAACACCACAACGGAGCAGAATCAGGAAGGCGGCAAGACTGATGTTGAGGTCATCAATTTAGAGACTGGTAACACGGCGAGGGGCAAGAAAAAGAGGAAAAGGAGTGAAAGGGAGTCATGGAAGTGTCCTGAAGAAGGTGTTGATAGGGAGGAAGGAGAAAGCTTTGCTAACAGTTACGAGAGAAACAGATGGAATGAGGCTTACACAGGTGTGCAAAACATCATAGAGAGTGTTGACAAAGTAGATATCTCAGCTCCCCAAGACACAACAAAAGAGGATAGTCCCCAGGTACAAATATTTTTTATTTTGGTTTGGTGTACGACAAGAGGTATTGAGCAGTGATATTGATTGGTGTACAACCTGATGTGTTTTACAATCTTATTGTCTTTTTCACCTGCAGGGAATGGAATTTGAAAACGACTATGTATCTGGTGATGATTCACCGTTTGCTGAACACAATGCATTTGCAGTTGTGCCCTCCGGTTTAGAGAATGGACATGAACAAACATGTTGGGAACCAATAAATGCTGATAGAAAATCCTTCAGAGAGAGTGTTGACAGAGTAGATATGTCAGATCCCCAAGAGACAGCAAAAGAGGATAGTCTCCAGGTACAAATATTTGTCATTTTGGTTTGGTGTACCACAAGAGGTGTTGAGCACTGATATTGATTGATGTACAGAGATGAATAGGTTTTGTTTTACAATCTCATTATCTTTTTCAGTTGCAGGGAATGGAATTTGAAAACGAATGTGTATCTGGTGATGATTCACGGATTGCTGAACACAATGCATTTGTAATTTTGCCCTCCACTTTAGAGAGTGTACATGAAGAAACATGTGGGGAACCGAAAATTGCTGAAAGAAAAACCTTCGGAGAGGTAACTTAATAGCTATAATATGTTAAAGGGTATTAAAAGCTATTTTCACCTCTGAGATTAATTTGGTTTTGGACAGGAATGTTTGGCTTCGTCTCCTAAAACTCCTGAAGAGTTGGTAAATAATAAGAGAGTGCCACGTGCTTCGAGGTTCGTCAAGGGAGGGGAGTATACTGGTGACCCCAAGTTAAAAGCTCTGTTCGCAAGAAAGCAAAAAGCACCAGAATACCGCCCCATGTCCTGTGTTGACTTGAAGGAATTTTATGAGCTCAAACAATTGCTGGTGGACAATGAGGAACTGTAAGTTCTGCTATCGAAAGTGTTGCTATTGTTTTTTGGATCTATACTGTAACTAATAGTCTGTTATTGTTCAGGACATTTGAAATTGTTACTAAACACATAGTAACCTATCGGTTTTTCCTGGACATAGCTGAGGCTCAAAAACCTTTGGAGACAAAGGTAAATAAAGTGTACAGTTATTTCTGTTATAAACTTCGTTTGAACACCTAACAGAGTAGGATCTAACAATTCGTTTTCACTAACATGGTGCAATTGGTAAACAGCATGTCCAGGTAATAATGTCTATGCTGTGGCGTAGAAGGGGAGAGGTGTACACCAAAGTAAGAGCTGCTTTCATTGATACCTGGTTTCTGACCCTTCTTCAACAGAAGTACAAAAATTTCAAAGCGTGCAAGAATAAGAAGAAGTTCAATTGGGGAGTGAACTTGAGGACGTTTGTTACAGGCAGAGCAAGAGCGCGGACGCCAACAACATTTCTGCAACATATTGACCTGGTGTACATTCCTATGAAATGGTCCACCTCGCACTGGGTAGGTCTCGTAATTAACTTGAGGTTGTGTAAAGTACAAGTCTTTGACCCTCTCATTGAAGCAAGGTCAGACGAGGAAGTAAACTCTGTGATGGCGCCTGTTGTAGAGATGATTCCCTGGTTGGTTAAGGAGGCTGTAGGTAAGAATTATACAAAGAACTTCTCAACAGACCCACTAACATGGGAGAGGGTTAAAGGACTATACCAGAACCAGAGAGGAGGTGACAGTGGACCTGTTGCAACAAAATTCCTTGAAATGCACGCGTATGGTCTTAGGACCAATGATATGAGAATGATTACTGATGAGGTGGTTGACGAGTTTAGGAAGGTGTACGCCATGGATGCATATGTCGAGTTCATTGAGAGTGGTGAAGCCAAGAAACCTTGAAAGGAGTTTATGGTTTAAATTTAAAGACGTATTTTGTTTGGCGGTTTTAAAACTTAAATCTAGACATGTAATGTTGTTTTTATGGTTGTTGACATTTAATGTTTTTTAATGCCCTTTAAAGTTATTTGCTTCTTTGAATTATTTATTGTCTCACTGTTAATGTTTCTTCCAGCATTATCAATTGTTATTGTCTTGTACACTGGTAGGTGAACATTACATGGAGGTATGTACTCCTGTTTAATCCTTTATGAACATTGGGTACATCAGACGTGTACACTATAAGGTACACTAAAATCATACACCATGTCTTTGTATACTTTGTCTGTACACCTTTTCTGAAATATACATAGAAATAGACACAATATCTGTTCAAGTTATAGGTGTACGTAACGTAAATGTATGTAGACCGCTTATGTTCACTGTATGCACTGTCTCAACATTTCACACATGTAAACAATATCTGTACACTGACAATTTTACATAACTAGAAGGTGTGTACACCGCTTCTGTTCTTTAATTGTGTGGATTGGGTACACCAGAATTGTAAACTAATATTGTACACCATGTCTTTTACAGAAATAGTTTAGTACTCATGAGAACATGCCACCTAATAAAAAATTTTATTTTGAACATAAAATCCCTAATCCATTCTTTATAAAATCGAAACAATCATTTAACTACGTATCTTTGATCTAAACCCTAACAAATCTTTTACCAAATCTAACCGTCCCTTATAAACACAAACCTCTCTTATGAACTTAAACCGATATAACTTATTTATTTTGCAGTTCGTTTATTTTTATTACTTGTAAGATTCTGAACCACAATATATTTTTTTAATTTGTTTATTTTAATTACTTGCAAAAACCCAAGTATATATACACTTAACGTTTACCCAAAGTGTCTAATTCTGTACACTCTAAAGGTATAGACACTTTAAAATCTGTACACAGTCTCTGTATACCCCATCGGAATACTTTGCTACTTTTGTACACTAAGTTCACACACTTTTTACGCTTGAGGGTACACCAGAAACTTAGCATGGTATATTGACTGGTGGCGATCAGATATGATAGTTAGATCATGTCCATCACCCTACAATGTCTTTCAGTTTCTCCATAAACCACGTCCAAGAGTCATGATTCTCGCTGTCCACTATAGCGAAAGCTATTGGAAATACCTGAAAATTTGCATCTTGTCCACTTGCAGTTAGCAAGCACCCATTGTATTTCCCCTGAAGGTGAGTTCCATCCACAACAACTACACGACGAATGAATTTCAGGCCCTGTATACTTGCCCCCAGTGAAACAAAAGCAAACTTAAACCTTTCATCTCCAAGTTCATCATCTTTTGTCTCTAAATGGTATACTGTCCCAGGATTTGCAAGTTGCAATAAATGTAAATATAGGGGCAAAAGTAAGTAAGAATTCTCCTTTATCCCCTGAGCAGATGATATAGCTAATTCCTTAGCTTTCCAGCATTTCCAATAAGAAGCAGTCACATTATACTCGTCTAAAACAGCTTCGGGAAGATCTCTCGCTCTAGGACCCGCTGTGACATTGACATACTTCGACCGTACTAAAGCAGCAATTACCTTCGATGTGGCGTGTTTGGTAATTGACCCCGGGTCTCCACATCACACACATGCTCAAGCTTCACTTTCCTAACCTCGTACTCATCGCTATCACCTATCTGGTGTGTGTTACACCCGCCAGTCGCATTTCTTGTCAACACATTGTGCTACGAGATAACACTTGTCAAAAACCCTTCCTCTATACATAACATCATCTTCTTTAGTAAGATCAATGTTATGACCTCTGAAATCGGGTGTGTCAGTGTCAATGAACATTGGTTCAACGTCTTCAAAGCCATATATTTCAGACAATTCTATCCCTTTCTTTAAGGCTACCGACTGTCCTTTCTCTGCTTGGTGGACAACTCTTTATGTAAGACTCTTTTGCGCTTAACTTGGACCGGAGACTGATAATCTAGCAACGGAGGAGGGTTGTCGAGCAGCGGAGGAGGGTTGTCAAAATCATCCACTTCACGAAGATCCGTATATCTTTGTACCTTCCTCGGAGGGGGATCGTAAAATCATCGTTGTTCATCTCAAAACTAAGAGGTTCCGTCTCCACATTATCGTTTTACATCAAATTACGTTTGTTATAATTACATATACGATTTATATATTTACTAAATCAATTATTTAATTTTGTTTGAATTTTTTAGGAAAATCTCAAATAATGAAGGATCTGAATGACTCGAATCCGGGTCAAAATCCTGATTAAAAAAAAAACATGACTCGCAAAAAATGAGCAATTTTTTCTTCATCGATAAAAAAAAATTAAATGATTTATTGTTTGGTTATATTTTAGATTGTACACGTATTTTTTTTATTGATTGAGTAATATATATTCGTTTTAAAAAATTTAAATCACATCATATGCAGAAAAAATCTAAATTTATTAACTATATATATTTTATAATAACTAAAAATAATATAAATATAAGATCAAATAAAAGTGAAATGAGAGTATGTTTAAATTAGGTAGAGAAGTTTTATGGGATTAGCTCAAATTTGTTATATTAGCATTAAATCATCAAATTTGATTTCCTTATCAATAAAAAATAGTAAAGAATATGCCATAAATAAAGAGTTTAGGTGTAGTAATTAGTAGAGAAAAAGATATATTTTTTAGATTTTATGAATTAATTTTGTTTTTGGGATTTACCAAAATATAAGGAAAGATCCGATTGAAGATTTCCGGGTCAAAAACTAGAATAAAATCTGACCCAATTGTATTCTTTAAAATGTACTTCAAAAATGTTAAGTAGATATTCACTTGTATAAGTAATCTTAGATTATAGTACGTTATTTTATCATCTTCTTGGATTATAAATATTTAGTCTTTATATGTAGTAGTACTGTATATGTTTAAGAAAATTTATTATTTATTATTCTTCCCGAGGATATGGATAACAAGTGTACACCCATTTGCTTCTGAGCAAGAGATTACTTTACATATTTTTTAAAGTCTTCTGACTTATGCAGTGATAAGTTTTCGATATGGCGAAAAAAGTGTCTATATTATGAAATTTAAATAGAAAAAAGAGAGTATAATAAGGAAATATAAGGAGTATAATTGGTTGATTGTGAGTAAAGCAAAGTGTTGAAAACAAAGGAGAGGGACAATAATGAACTTTGGTTATAAGTTATAACGTTAAACATTATCCACCAACATCATATTCATATTCATATGGTGTTGACTGTTGACATTATTAGCTTTTATTGGGTCGTCTCCGCTTTAATTAAGGTTAGAAGCCCAATAGTAAAAACCCTATCTCTCAACAATTAGGGGTTCATTACCCTCTTGAGAAGCCAGCCGCTGTGAGTATCGGCCGCTGTCCCAAAGAACAATGTAAGTTTCAGATCTTGTTTTTTTTTTAGTTTCCATAAGAATTTTGATGAATAATTGACTAACACGAGTATCCTCGCTTCTTTAGCGATCTCTCTGAGCTATTCTCGCCTCTCGTCGTAGTCGTATTATCCGTCCATGAGTCTCCGAAAGAACTACGTAAGTTCTCGTTAGATCTTGTTCTTTTTTTGTTTCCGTAACACTTTGTTCAAGTTTGAGCTTTTGAGTCTTAATGTAATTTCGTTACCCTCATTTACAGCTCCCAGGGTTCTTACCCTGGGACTATGAATCAGTGCCTCTATCACGTCACACTGACGTCGCAGAATTCATATCCAGCGTCATCCATTTTCTAGAAGAAAAATGGCTTCCACGGTTCGTTCGACCTTCTGCCTGTTGTCTCCTTCGATGAACAGAGTAAGATTACCTCTAGAGTAAAGAAAGCATTAAAGCGTCTAGGCATATTCCCTCATTTCGTCCGCAAAATAGGTGAGCCAAGAGAACAGCAAATTTCTGATATTGAGATCCGTAGAAGAATCAAAGCATGGTATGAAGGTCACCTAGCTAACAATACAAGGGGTGTACTTGGTTTGATGGCGGCTGATGGAGGTTACATATCTCAGCTCCTAGAGATTCAGAATGAGGGTGGTTTTGAGATTGTTATAATCAATCGCCCAGGAGTGGCAACCCACTCTTTCTACACAGTGTTGTCGCAATTTCCTGTCATAACAGATTCTGTAGCTATGGTCCAAAGGTATCAGAATAGTGCTGGTTTAGGTAGTGGATCTGGTTCTCGTTTGGTGGTAATCGTTTTTGGAGGTAATGGTGGACGTGATCAGGGCGGTTATGGCTGGGGTGGAAGTGATCAGGGCGGTTATGGCTGGGGTGGACGTGATCAGGGCGGTTATGGCTGGGGTGGACGTGATCAGGGCGGTTATGGCTGGGGTGGACGTGATCAGGGCGGTTATGGCTGGGGTGGACGTGATCAGGGCGGTTATGGCTGGGGTGGACGTGATCGGGGCGGTTATGGCTGGGGTGGACGTGATCGGGTGGACCTGGTCAACACCAGGCGTCAGAGTACTGTGGCCCTCTCGCCATCACGGGTGAATCCGCCATTCAGCCGTTTCCATATGGTTCTCCCGAAAGCTTACTTATGGAATTTGGCAAAATATTGACAATTTGATCACACATCTATCTAGTGAAGAACACCATGAGCTGCAGGTAATCATCAACCATCCTGTTTTTTTCTTTTGACTTGTTACAATTAGTCACTTGTTCTTTTGTTGTTCAAGCTGGCTTGGACTACTGTGCCTGTGCCTTCTCATCCACCGGTTGCTCCTACTGCCATGGTGAGTAAGCTACCAAAGTCATGTTTTCATTTCTTTATTTTAGATTTGTTTGCCTAAATCTGACCCTCATGTTATATCTCTGCTCGAAACCTCTTACCACAAGTTTCCCTTTCTCGCTTATAGTTTTGTTTGTCTAAATCTGACAACTTGTTCTAGTATTGTTTGCCTAACTTTGACCTTTTGTGGTTAATGTGCATTGGGTTTTTAAGCAGTTGTCCGACCTGTTGCGAATGAGTAGTGACATTGCTTGGATGCTCAACTAACTGAGGAAAACCTAGTGGCTGTAACATCGGTCTATTGGGACATGGAGACGTGTCCTGTTCCACTTGGCTGTGCTCCTCGTCGGATCTCTCCCATTGGCGCAGTAGAAGACGTCCCTTATGACATCCTGAGAGAAGTCTATCCCAGTGGAATCAGCGTCCCTTACGGTTAGGATCTTTCATCTTTTCATCCCCTTGTGCTGAGTCTCAAGTCTTTAGTTTCTGAAAGTGTTTTCAAACTTTGTTGAAGGTCTTATTTGTGGCTAAAGTGCAAGACGAGTGGGATGTGAAGAAAAGAAGAAGAACTGAAAGGCCTTTGTTTTTTCTTTCTCTTTTCTTTAAAAAAAAATAATGGTGAATACTGAGTTACTTTTGGTTTAAAACACTTGACTGAGTTCTCCTTTACTTTTGGTCGGTTTAAAATGGTGAATCCTCTTAATCGTCTCTGATGTGGAAAAACCTAATGTTAGTATTATATTAATGTTTTTTTTCCTCTTTTCATTATTTTTTTGCACCACTAATCAAGTAATGTGGATAGAGATCATTTAATTGATATATAGTTGGGAGCTGGACTTGTCAAGTATTTATCAAAATGATATTGATTTGGATCGACTGATGAATCCTTCCATTCAATTTCTGATTAGGTAATATCTCGCACAATCAAATACTTATTTACCTATTAAGAGTGTAAAACAAAATACAATGTATGAACTAAAACCGTAATGCAAGAAAAACATGCCTCTTTAGTTACCAAGCTTGCTCTGTTTCATGAAATAAGCCCCCAAACAAAGCAATATCAAAAGTTGATAGATCTGATGAGTAAATCAGCATAAATTCATAATAACAGCCTTCACCCTTTAATTCATTTGTTCTTCGCTTGGTTATTTATTTAATAAAGCCCAACCAGTGGCAATAGTTAACCGGAAATTTATTTTACTCGAGTCGAATCGGGTCGGGTCAGAAAATCAATATTCCGGCATATTCGATGGCCTTACGTTTTGGAGACACATGCTAGTTTGCCACTGAACCGGAAATGTTAATCACGACTGCCATTTTGGAGTCTGAATGCCACCTCTCAATAGGATAATACTCCTTTACCCTTAATGAATTGAATATCTTTTAATTGAATTAATTTGAAAAGGAAAAAAAAAACATTGAAATCGAGAAATGAATTCTCGATCCAATCTCGAATCTGTGTCTTCCCTTCCCCCGACATTGTTGAAGCTTCTCCCCGGAGCTGAGAGCTCGAGAGAGTGACTGACATTTTCGGCGCAGCAGCTTTACTTATCTCCGCCATTGTTGGATCGAAAGATCGAGAGGTCGACAGATTTGCAGCTCGTCTACTCCCGAAACGCTCCTCCTCTGTTTTGGTTAAGTCATCCATTTCGCCGGCCGTCGCCTCCTCCGTCGCAGCGTCATCTTTCTTCCCCCCATTCTTGGATCTCGATTGAAGCAAGTAAGTACTTAGAAGAGTATTTATCTTACGAACAATCTTAAAAATCGATGCTTGGATACAAAATTTATCTACGAACAATCTAAAACGCCAAGAATGATCCTTGATTTTTCCGGTCTGTTTGTACTAATCATAGTTTTGGCTCTTTCATGATTTCACCTATATATACACAGGTGATCCGAGAAAGACCACAACACTTAGTTTTCACTGGAAGGTGTAAAGGAAAGACTTCACTTGTTCAAAGCAGACCTTTTGGAACAAGGTTCTTTCGACTCTGCTATTGATGGCTGCCATGGAGTTTTCCACACTGCTTCTTCTCCATTTTTTCATGATTGTCAAGAGACCCACAGGGTTTTGTTTTTATTCCCTCAAAAACTTGCCTTTATTTTGTGGGTGTATGATCTTAACTTCCTATCCCAATTTCAGGCTGAACTTATCGATCCTGCGGTCAAGGGGACACTTAACGTTTTGAATCTTGCACCAAAGCTTCTTCGTTAAAAGGGTTGTTGTCACCTCCTCCATGGCAGCCGTTGGTTACAATAGAAAACCACGCACACCTGATGTTACCGTCGATGAAACTTGGTTCTCTGATCCTGAGCTTTGCGAGTCCTCCAAGGTTTGTTTTGAAAGTTGATCCATGTTTCATTTTTATTTATGATGAAACTTGGTTTTGTTGTCATCTACTATCAACTAGTCGTCGCTTTATTGTGCTCTAATGTTCGCTCTTCAAACTAAAATGGTATGTTTTACTACTGGACTTAGATGTGGTATGTTCTATCCAAAACTTTGGCGGAAGATGCCGCTTGGAAACTCGCTAAAGAGAAAGGCTTAGACATTGTTACTATTAACCCAGCTATGGTGATCGGTCCTCTCCTACAGCCAACTCTGAACACGAGTGCTGCTGCTATACTTTGATTGGATTTCTTTTGAGCCTTTGCCCGTTCTCAAGATTTGGATTGTTTTTCTAATGTTGGGTTATATCAAATACTTTGTTCTGTTTCTTCTTGACAAAAATATTTTCCAATACTATATAATTTGGGATGTAGAAGTTATTCAATGATTTGGAAAAAAACACATGTATTAGTATTGTCGTTATTTCTAAAAACTAGGTTCGACTAGGTACAACTAAGAACATCTCTGTATTTGAATTTATCGGAATTGGTACAATTAGGTTCGGCTAGGTACAACTAAGAACATATTGTATATAAAATATTTCATCATATTTGTACAATTAGGTTCGACTGAGTACAACTAAGACCATAAATGTATATGTATTTCTATACAACAAATATGAAAACGATAAATTAGAGTTAATAACGATTCCAAAAACATCCTGAACTCTAATAAAATAATTTTAAATAAATAAAAATCGAACTAATATTTTCCTAATATATACTATTAGTTCAACTAGTTCAACTACGTTTATTAAATTATAATAAATTGTAAATTAAGATTATATGAAAATTCTCCAAAAAACATCTTCAACTATAAATAGACTATTTGAAAGCAATACAAACCAGAATTTATCAATTTCGTAACCATTTTTTTCATTTCCAACATAACACACTTCTTCTAATATAAGGAAGATTTCGTAAGTGATCATCTCATATGAAGCAAAAGAGGTGAAATCCGAGTTTTTCTGAACATTGTATTATGAAAACCTTCTTAAACGATAATTAATAGTGTAACATCATGTGTACAACTAGAAATACTAATATTCATTTAAGTCCAACTGGAAATACACAAAAATCGCAAAAAGTCCAACTATGAATATGACAGTACAACTGGACAACTAGGTACAACTATGTTGAAAACAAAATATTTTGTATTAATATCATGCTGTCTTTGGCCCACCTTACCACACGTGTGATGATTTAAAATTAATATTCCGCCGCCAAAAATCATGCTTTACGTCATCTTTAATAATTTTTTTTTTTTTACTTCGTTTTAAATTATTTTAATACCAATTTTAATTAATTTTTTATTTTTTAAAAGGTTATTTTTAATTGTCTCAGTTGTACCTAAATGATCTAGTTGTACTTTCTTATAAGTAACTCATACACGTAGTTGTACCTAAATAGACCAGTTGTACCTACAAAACCAATTAAACATAAATATAATCTAAATATTTTTTTGGTTTACAATAACATGAAGTCATATGTTCTTAATCAACAACACAAACAAAATACAGAAATGAAATACAAAAACATAAGTCATGTGCAATCTTAATCCACAAGTACGTGCAGACTTGACTTGTGCGCTTTCTTTCCAGTTCTTGATCAAGCTCTTCCTTCCACTTATCCTCTTCCTTCCACGTATAAATGAAAAGCTTAATCGAAAATATAAGTCATGTGTTGCCATGGGCATTAGTCACTAACATAATCATATGATTTAACGCAAAGTCAGTGTTTTTTGCATCGACCCAAAATCAAGCAAAAAGTATTACACCTAGTTCTATCATCTAAACTCTCCTTGCCTTCTAGAAATCTCAAAGACACAAATAATCACCAATTTGATTTCTTGGAAACAACTATCAAGATGGTTTTAAAGAAGAGAAAATAGGGTACAAAGCATCAAGACCAAATAGAAATTCATATCCATAAAGCTTAAACTTTAGCTTTAGAGACCTATAATAAGAAATACTGATGTAAAACATCAACGCTCACAAATAAAACAATAATGAGAATGGTCCCTGGATGGAGTTCCACAGTTGTAGCAAAAAGCCAACCCACACTTGCAATTAAACAGATTATTAAAAAAAAAAAACCTTTGTTTCACAATTTTGCATCACAGACAATAAGAAGAAGAAGAACTTGTTTCATTCTCACTAGACACCAAAACTTGTTAATCATCCCAAAAACCAAGTAAAATCAAAGAAAATAAAAAAAAACCTCCAGAGATTGAATCGTAGCATCGTTTAAAGACAATTCAACTTTGTAACCATTAAGCTCTTCTTCCGCCACTTCTTTGATACGCTTCGCATGCTCAACTTTTGAATTCTTGAAAACTGAAAACCTATTCATTTTACTTTGGAAGTCAAGAAATCAAAGCTTGTTCATTTTATCCTCTAGATCAAAGCAATGGCAGAGTAAAGCAAACCTGTTTGATGACAAGAGAACCAGAGGATCCAACAACGATGAAAACGTAATTGAGATTGCCATCTCCAACTTCTTTGATAACCAAATCAACACCAATCTTGGAAATCTGGCTTGCTGCTTTTAAGCTCGAGTGTGAGAACAAGGAGGTGGAGAGGAGATTGCTTGAAGAAAGCGTGAAGAAATTCCCAGCATTCTTCAAGCTTTGGTTGATGCTTGGGTAGCTTGGGGGAATGTTTAGGCAATTGGAACAGGCCAACAACGCTTATACATCTGGTTTGACGCACTGTCCCGAGTGCACAACATTGTGGCTCTCGCTCGCTGATCTTGAAGAGAAAGTGAATGGGCTCAACAAGCTCGTGTAGTTCTCACTCTGGACAGGAAGAAAAACCCTTAGGCGGATGAGCTATGGGCTATGGCTAGCTGCTTTTCGTGCTGAAATTAGACATGGCAACAAGAGAGAAGCAGAGCGCTTGATGTCAAAGGCATGGGATTCTCGATTTTGAACGGAGATCCCTAAAAAAATTGTAACGATCTCTGGCCTCTGATAACGGAAAAAATTGAAGAGGAGAGTGGTGATTTGTTGTAACTCTCTGTTTCCAAGTTGATTTTTTTCTCCAAGCTCTTCATCCTCACCGATTCGATTTTGATTTCTCCGGCATATGCTACGAAAAGATTTTCGAGATTTTTTTTCTCTAAGTTTTACTTCTATAATTTTCTTTTACAATTAGGGAAGTGGATCGGATTGGGTAATCCGTTTTATTAGATTTGGGTCGGATTGTTTAGGTTGGATCTGTAATTTCTAATTTTCTAAAGGTTTTTTTGGACATTTTCATCACTTTTGTTTTTTTTAAAAAAGTAAATTAAATTAAAGGATTATAGAAAGGGGGAAAAACCCGAAAAAAACCGCCATTATTTTTATTGGCTGTTTAATACCCTCGTTTATTTTTTTGGAATAAAAATACCTTATATATTTATAGTTGGTAAAAAAATACCTCATTTTTTAATTGTTGGTAGATTCCAACCCACGACTTAACATCCGTTAACGGACGTTACAAAATTATTTAACGGTGTTAAACTTTAACCTTACGTGTTTATACTAATATAGTATCCGTTGTAGATAATTACAAGTTACAGTTATGTTGTCCTCGTCTAGTGGCAATGCGTTGGTTTTGTAAAATACAAGACCATGGGTTCGACACTCAACTTTTGTTTTTTTTTTTTTTTTTTTCTGTCTTCCTCGACAACGTTTTGCGTCTGCCATTTTTTTTTTTTTTTTTTTTTCTCCGAATCCCAAATTATTGCCTTCCATCGTCTCCGATCATTTTCGTGGTGCTTGCGTCGTCTGTAACCGCAATTACACAAGTCGAATCCATTTCCGAAAGAGTCTTCCTTTGAAAGAAGAACAGCCGATTTCCTGACATTTAATTGTTGAATCATGGCGGCTACCAATGTCATGCGGCGAGATGAGAGCCTTCTTATTGATCCCCTTAGAGGTAATTCGAAGTTCAATTTTGATATATAGACCCGTGTTTGGTTTCATTCCCTTAAATTCGAGAACTATCTGTACTGGGGAATTAGGAAGGAATTTTTTTTTTTCGTTTCCCGGATTGAATTTCTTCTTGGGTTTCACTTGCAGGAGATACTTCTTGTTTCATTGAAATTGATATTCGGGACAAGTGAGTGCCTTTTTCACTCTTGTTTCATTTTCTTCATTACATTTACTGTCGAACAGCCAAAAAAAATTGTCATCTTACTAATACTTGAGATGTGATTATATATGCTTCATTATTCATCTGAATCTTTGACGTTCTGTTCTTGTGGTGCCCTATTACTTGACTAGTTCAAGCCGTTTGGCTTTGTTTGGAAGATGTAAATTTAATTGTTGGAGAGAGATTTCACGAATTTACACCCGTTTTTCTCCCTTTTCGTGGTGTAGTTTGGAAAGGGACCTTGGAAGTATAGTGAATCTATTTAAACGACTGAGAGTAAAACTAAACTTTTGGATATTAACGCATGTGAAAATTAAGCAGTATCACTGAAAATGTACCTTTGTATAGTTGAAATGTTATGGTTGATATTCTTGAGAATCCACGTATGCGCTTATCTAGTTGTTCCTGAATGATCCCTCTTTTATACAAAATTCTAGGAATTGGAGCTGTATGAAAGATTGTGTCTAATATTCTATATGGTTTCAGTTATGGGTAAAGTTGAAGGACAGGGTGAATCTTGGCATGGTCATGTGACAGCCGCCACAGTCTCTCCAGAATATCTCAGGCAGCAACTCGCATAGAAACTGATGAACCTTCTCGAAGATATCAGTGATAAGATGTAAGACTTAACAGAAACAAAGCTTCTCCAGTTTTAGTTTTCTCTTTGATATCGTTAAGACTAAATAAAAGATGGAAGCCTTAATATATTGATATTGGCTTTCAGCAGACCATCTATTTTTTTTGAAAACCGATTTTTAGATACAGTACTTTCAAAGGAAGAAAATCTTGAGTTGCTTCTCATTGATTTTATTCTCTGGTACATTATACTCTTCTTAATGATTATTATACTTGTGGTTATTGTCAGATTCTTTGTTGAAGAGCGTGAAAATTTCCATTTTTGTGACTTGCAGCAGCAAAGGAGAAGCTAGTGAAGAATTGCAGTTGCTGAAATCAGGCGCTTCTGGTTTTGTTATTTCGTTGAAAGATCTGCGTTCTTCTAGGGATGTAGCTCTTCGCCAGTGTCTTGATGGAGCTTATGTTGTAAATCATGAGACACTTCAACAAGAATGAAAGCATTCTTAACGATAGTGACCTGCCGGAGAAAAACAATTCTCCTGGGTTCGTAAAATAGAGGACAAGCATAAACAACTAATAGAAATGGAGAAATCACTGTTGAGAGAGACTATTGAAATCATCCAGAAGGCGGCTCCACTGGTGATTTTTATTTCAAACATTTGGTAGTTGATGTCAATTTTTTGAAATGGTTCTTAAGTAGATTTTCTGTGGTTACAATTATATGGTTTAATTTGCCTCTTCGACTATTTTCAAAACAGATGGAGGAAGTCTCCCTTCTAATTGATGCTGTTTCTCGGATTTATGAGCCGTTTCTGATGGTTATAGTGGTAATTCTGCACTCAACTCCGTCAAATTGTGATTCCAGGAATTTGCATTGGTATTAGCTCAACATTCATTAGAAACAATTTAGTTACAAACTTTTGCCTGCACTAGATAGCTTGAGATAGATCTCTGCTAAACAATGGGCATGCTTCTAGTCACTTCTTCTTTTGTGCTTCTCAATATCTTCGTTAGTCCCCTATGATGTTTCGCTTCTTCTTTTGTTCTGTCTATGCTTCTCTTCTTATTTTGCTTATGGATCTGGTTATAGGAGAGACTGCATTTTTCTTTACTGTACCATCTGCTTGTGGACATAGTTTTTTCGCTTTCTTGTGACTTGTGAGTATGCCGTTCTTCTAGCTATTTGGTTTGGTGGTTAAAAAGAGTCAAGAAATTATCATGTTTCGTCTAAATTTTTTGAAGCTTTGCATGTGATTTTTAGAGGATTCCAACTAGTTTTCTGTCTACTTTTGCTTTGTTTTTTTTTAAACTTGGAAATGTTCTAAGCGCGACATGTAGCTTCTATGATTTAAAATAGTTTTCGTATGGATAATTTATTGGAATCCATAATTTGCTGGTACTAGGGGGAATTTAACTCTGGAAAATCAACGGTTATCAATGCACTTCTTGGGAAGAGATACCTGAAAGAGGGGGTAGTCCCCACTACCAATAAAATCACTTTTCTGTGCTACTCTGACTTGGAATCCGAAGAGCAACAACGTTGCCAAACACATCCAGATGGCCAATACGTATTCTATCTTCCTGCACCAATACTTAAGGATGTGAGTCCTTCAAAACTCTACCATCGCAATCCTGAATTTTTTCTAATTATTTGGAGGAATTGATTTGGGTTGTTCTCCTTTCGAGCAGATATATATTGTTGACACACCTGGGACCAATGTGATCCTTCAAAGGCAGCAGCGTCTTACAGAAGAATTCGTTCTTTCTGCTGACCGCCCTTTAACTGAAAGTGAGGTAGAAGTTACAGTTTTGCTTGGCATGTTAGTTGTTGTTTTTGCTCAATATGTACCTGCCTAAGTACCTTGTTAAATCAATTTTTTTTCACGAAAGTAGTTACTTAAGTCATGTATAGACCATCAAGACCTTGTGTAGAGAAGGGGAAGTTGTCACTAGGTTGAATGCATATATCAAGGTTTTCTTGATTATTAATTTTAATTAGACTAATTATTTTTCAAGTAATGAGTGTTATAGCTATTGCTGGAACCAGTATGTTCTTTTGGTCCATATTTTGGTAAAGCTTAGGCCAAGACATATGAGACGTGAGTTGTTATTGGTACATCAAAACTGATTTTGCGTCCGTGGCGAATTGTATGCAAATGATCATCTATGAAAGTACTAAATTATAAATATTTGGTTTTTATTTTGAAAATCGGTAGAAGAAGTTTCAATATTAGGAACAAGTTTCTCAATGTCATCATACCCATGTCATTTCTATCTCTACCTCTGCAGCTTCCTGCTGTCTTGATTGTACTGTATGCTGATTTACACATCTCATTGTGTTTGTCAGGTTGCGTTTCTCCGGTACACACAGCAGTGGAAAAAGAAATTTGTGTTTATTCTGAATAAATCTGATATCTACCGTGATGCTCGTGAGGTTTATCAGAACCAAGATATATGTCCTTTCCTTGATAGTCTTTGTAATTGCTGGATTTTCTTGACTAATGATTAATTTTACTGCTGCAGCTTGAGGAAGCTATTTCATTTGTTAAAGAGAATACACGGAAGTTGCTTAATACAGAAAATGTGATATTGTATCCGGTGTCCGCACGGTCTGCTCTTGAGGCAAAGCTTTCAACAGCTTCTTTGGTTGGCAGAGATGATCTTGAGGTCTCGGATCCTGGTTCTAATTGGAGAGTCCAGAGCTTCAATGAACTTGAGAAATCAGTATTTGCTTTTGTGGGCTTTAAGTAGGTTGAGTTGAGAAGAGAAACTTAGTAAGTTTACTCAGTCAGAATGGCCAGGGGGAGACACATCTAGTCCTTGTGTTACAGAGAATGATGGTAAAGTCACAGAAGCTAGTGGACAGGTGTCTCCTCCCACAGGTTGTGTTAAGAAATTGCCTAGTAGGCGAGCTGGAGTTAATAAAGAGCCTGTTAAGCGAGGAGGAGTGAAGAAAGAGGCTGCTCGAAGATGTGAGACTGCGGTTAAGAACAAGAAAGATGATGAAGCAAAAAAGGATGATGGAGACAATATTGAGATGTTGAAAATTTTCATATTGGAGCAACACTTAGAGACAGTAAAAACACTGAAGGCAGAGATTCATAATTGTTTTGCTGGGCTGACTAAATGTGCATGTGGTGGACTGCAATCTCCAAAAAACCACACCACATTGCATCAGAAAGTCGGCAAGTCTGATGTTCAGGTCATAAATTTAGAAGCTGGTAAGACGGTGACGGACAATAAGAAGTGGAAAAGGACTGAAGTGGAGACGGAGTAAGGTGTATGTACGAAGGAAGTTGAGAGCATTGGTAACAGTTACGATAGAATACGATGGGACAAGGCTTACCCATTGGTACAAAACAATCAGGAGCATTGACACATTAGACCAAGCAAGTTATTTCATGTATTTCCTTATCCATTTTTACAATAAATCCTCGAGATCATTGAAATTGGTTGTGTGTTCATTAGGCCACTACTAAGGAGGGACGTCCAGAGACTACAACTGACGCCACTGAGAGATGGGAAAAAAACTGCAAATGAGGCCTCTGACACTGAGGGTGGACAGGTGGAGGGTGTACATGTGGAGGGTGGACAGGTATGGATCTTTACAGTGTGCTATGTTGTATGGTGTGATCTTTACTGCTTCCAGTGTACATCTTAATTGTTTACACGATCCAGTGTACATCGTAATTGAAATTTGTTGTGTGTCCATTAGGCCACTAAGGAAGGACTTCCAGAGACTACAACTGACGCCATTGAGAGATGGGAAAAAACTGCTAATGAGGCCACTGACACTGTGGGTGGACAGGTGGAGGGTGTACATGTTGAGGGTGGACAGGTATGGATCTTTACAGTGTGCTATGTTGTATGGTGTGATATTTACTGCCTCCAGTGTGCATCTTAATTGTTTACAGGCTCCAGTGTACATCGTAATTGAAATTTGTTGTGCGTACATTAGGCCACTGAGATGGAGGACGTCCAGAGACTGCAACTGACGCCAGTGAGGGGTGGGAAAAAAGTGCAAATGAGGCCACTGAGACCGAGGGTGGACAGGTATGGATCTGTGTGAATTTGGTTTGGGTGTATAGTCTGGTAAGTTGTACAGAGATGCATGGTGTGATCTTGACTTGCAGGAAATGGAATTTGAAAACGAATGGGGATCGGGTGATGATTCACCGTTTGCTGAACACAATGCACTTACCATTTTGCCATCTGGTTTAGAAGATGGGAATGAAGCAATGATTACGGAGCCGGTAACTGATGAAATAGATACATGCGGAGAGGGAGAGGTATGTTAAATTTGAATTTGGCTATAGAGAGGTAAGTTAACATGCGGAGATGTTTAATATCCATAATCATTTGGCTTTTCAGGTAAATAATTCTTCTGTCTCCTCGAACTCCTGAAGAGTTGGTCACGAAGTCGAAGAGAGTGCCACGTGCTTCGATATTCGTCAAGGGAGGAGAGTGTACTGGTGACGCCAAGTTAAAAGCTCTAATCACAAGCAAGCGAAAAACACCAGATTACCACCCCATATCCCGTGCAAACTTGGAGGAATATGAGGAGTTCAAAAACATGTTGGAGGAGAATGAGGAGATGTAAGTTCGGCTGTCTATATGTTTGTTTTATCTTTTTTAAATAAGTATCTAACAAAATAGTTGGTTATTGTACAGGTCGTATACAATTGTAACTAAACACACAATAACCAATCGGCATTTCCTGGACATAGCTGAGGCACCAAAACCCTTTAAAGACAGAGGTGATTACGTGAACACTTACCTCTGGTGTTGTACACTATTTTCACATGTTTGTAAACTCTAGACTGGATATAATCATTAACAATATGCAATTGGTAAACAGCATATGCAGGTAATAATGTCTATGCTGTGGCGCAGAAGGGAAGACGTGTACACCAGAGGAAGAGCAGTTTTCATTGATACATGGTTTTTGACCCTGTTAAAAAAGAAGTACACCGAATTTAAAGCGTACAAGAAGAAGTTGAAGTTCAACTGGGGGGTGAACGTGAGAGCAATTGTTACTGGCAAATCAAAGGGGCGGTTACCAACAAAATGTTGACCTGGTGTACATCCCTATGAATTGGTCCACCACACACTGGGTAGGTCTGGTAATTAACTTGATGCAAGGTACAATAGAGGTCTTAGACCCTCTCATTGATGTCTAGCTCAGACGAGGAGGTAATGTCTCTGATGGCGCTGTTGTAGAGATTAGATTCCATGGTTGGTGTGAAGGATGCTATAGCTAAGGAGATATCAGAAATTCTCAACAAAACCACTAACATGGAAGAGGGTTGCAGGACTATACCAGAACAAGAGAGGTGACAGTGGACCAGTTGCAAGCAAAATTCCTTGAAATGCACGCGTATGGGCTTAGCACAGATGATATGGGAAAGATTACGGATGAGAAGGTTGACGAGTTTGAGGAAGATGTACGAGATAGATGCATATGCAGCGTTCATCGAGAGTGGTGAAGCCAGCTAAGTTGAATAGAGGTTCCAGTTTGAGCTTAGAGTTGTAAAACTTGGTCAGTTTCTACGAAACTTTTTGGGTTGAAGACTTTCATCTCAAATTTGTTGTTTTTTACTTTTTTTTATTTATCGAAGTATTATTATGACAATTTGGGATACTTACTTATTTCACTACTGTTTTACAATACGGTATGTACACCTCTGTGTACACTGTGGTTCTTGGAGTACTAGATTTGGGTGGTGTACGTTACTCTGATAACTGTTTAAATCTAAATAATTATTTTTAGTTCTAATATTTAAATTAATAATTTATTTTAGAATAATTAAATTTAAATTATATAATTGTATTTGTGATTAACTTAAAAATAAATATACGAAAATATGATTATGAAAAAACTAAAGACATACTTTTGAACTAGATTTTAACCCGCAGTGTGATAATTTATTTTTTAAAGTTACTATATATACAAAATTTTGCAAATTGTATCTCGTTAAAAATATTAATATTTTATAGTTTACAATTATTATTAAGTAACGGTTACCACGGATCCACGGGACAATTGTTAATAAACTGAGGATTTAACCCGCATTAAAGTTGTATGCTATTGATATTTTAAAATTTTATAAAAATTGATTCAAATCCGTCCGCCATATAAACCCGTTCCGAAATATAAATCGTTCCGAAATAAATTCGTCTTTTTTTTTGCAGTGTACGTGGAGAATTAATTAATGAATTTGTTTGCTTAGGATTTTAATGTAAACTGAACCAAATTTGCTTTATCATCTGATTTAACCGGTTTTAGTGTACATAATAAAAAACTTAAGATACATAGGATTGGTTGCAGAAGGCCGATTCATATAAACTGTAGGCCCATGAAAACGAAGCCCATTCTCAACCCTATCTAGCCCCCATGAATCTATATATACGGGACAATATTAATATTTTTCTTCAATCAGGAATTTCGAAACCCTAGGCGTCCTAGTCGATTTCGAGATCAAACCAAGCCTGCTTATCTCTCGGGTAAATTTCTCGCTCCTGATGATTGTTCTAGAAATTCATCGGAAACGATTACAATCTCTGTCTCTGTCGGTGATTTAACCGTTCAATATCTATTTCTCTGAATAGTGCTTTCTCTATGATGTTTGATTACCGTTTCCTGAATAGTACTTCTCGTGAAAGCTTTAGATCCCTTGTTTTGCTTCCTTTTAAGCGTATTTAATCGTTTAGATCTTCTGGTTGATTATTGAGCTAAGCTTGTAGATCTGAGTCTGTTCTCATCAGTTTTTAGTCGCTTTCCTCCGATTTTTTTTTTTCATTTTACCATCTGTTCTAGATTACTGCGATTTGCTTTCCTAGTTTTGAAATTTTTTATCTCTTGGTTTGGTTAGGATTTTTAGAAGAAAAGATTCGGCTGTGAACGATGAAGAAGGCTACGCACAAGCAGGCTAAGGCTTTAACATTGGTCTTTGGGACCTCATAAGTGTCCGGTTCTAGATGGTTGTGACCCTCGTGTGATCCGTCCGCGTATTAACGGCTTTTGGAGAAGAAGGGCTACTGTGGTCCTCTCACCATCACTGCCATTGGCAAACTAAGCGGACGTCCCTACTGACACCCCCTGAAAGCACTCTATTCCAGTGGAATCCATCTTACCATCGCCCCCCTTTGGTTAGATATCTTCTCTCATCCTTTTATGCCTTTTGAAATAGAGAATAAGTAATAGAGAGTCTCATGTCTTTATTTTTTCTCAAACAGGTATCCTACTGACATTACACGTTTAATGAGATCGATGAGACAGCTAATTTTATGGTCATATCCTATCCGAAAGCCTGCCCTGGTTTATTTAGACTCTACAAGCGTTTTGGCTACAACCCTCTCGGCCCGTTTCCATATCATTCTCTTGACAGCTTAATTAAGGAAGGTGTGTGTGTTTCATTCTTGTTGTAGGAAATTACCAACAAAACACATGAATCTGTTGCTGATCAAAATGGCTACTTTTTTTTCTCTTCTTTTTTTCCCACAAGATTTAGGGATACTTGAGGAGGAAACGGGTGAATCTGCCTCATGGTATTGCCTTGTATGCCATTGTGATCCTCCTGCCCGCGACTTTAATAATTTCATCACACTCTATCTAATGTAGACCATAAACTTCAGGTAATTCTCATTGTCTACCTGTTTCTTTTTTGCCTTGTTTTCACCCCATCCCTCACTCATTTAATGTTCCAGCTTAGTACGACTAGGAATACTGTGCGTCCTCCCCCGATTGATCACTCCAGGGTGAGTAAGCGCTACCAAAGTCTTAATTTTTACTTTCTTTGCCTATATTTGACCACCATGTTATCTGCTTCAAAATCCTCTTACTAGGTGCATGTGTCTGCCTATCTGATTGAGCGCAAACTGATGAGGCTCAAACAGGGGCCCACAGACTTGAAGACTGCAAAGTCAGACGGTGAGACGTTGGTCTATTGGGACATCAAGTTGTGTCCGGTTCCCCACGACTGTGATGCTATTCTTGTCGGTCCGCGCATCAAACGCTTCTTGAGGAAAGAAGGCTTCTCTGGTTCTCTCACCATTGTTGCCATTGGCGTACTAGCAGACGTCCCTACTTACATCCTGAGAGCACTCTATTCCAGTGGCATCACATTTCATATCGTCCCCTACGGTTAATATCTTCTCTTCCTTGGCCATTCTACAGTAGTGGATACTTTCCTTGATGATTAGCAAGTGTCTCAAGTTTTTTAGTTTCTGAAACAGGTTCTGCAGACATCCCGAGCCTCATTTTTGAGTGTTGCCATAGGAATGGACCTCTACGTAATATAATGGTCATATCCGATGACATATACTTGACTAATCAGTCTGACGTGCTACATTCAACACCATTTTGCAACTTTAAGCTGCTTAATTCTCTTCAAAGCTTTTGTCTGGCAGGTGTGTCTTTGTCCTCTCTCACAGTGTTGTTGAAATAACCAGCAAATCTGTTGTTCAACTGGTTACTTTTTTTTTTTTTTCCTCAGACTCGGTGACACTTGAGGAGGATGATTGCGGTGATACGGGTGAATCTCCCTTTTGGTTTTGCTCAGTATGCAATTTCCGAAATGTTCCTTGCCAAAGCTTTGATAGTTTCACCAAGCATCTCTTTGGTACCTACCATCAACGGAAGGTAATCATGCTTCCTAGCCAAACTGGACGGACTTATATTGTATCAATTCATTTTGTTAACTATTTTTGAGTCAAACAACTTCTGCACTTTTGTTTGCCTAAATTTGACATTATGTTATCTAATTTTTTTGACTGGATGTGTTTCAAGCAGTGGTTGGACATGTGGCGTATGAGAAGTGTACATTGCTTGGATGCACCACTACGTGAGCCTCTTGAGGAAAACCGGAAGGCTGTAACATCGGTCTATTGGGACATCAAGAGGTGTCCGGTTCCACTTGGCTGTGATCCTCATCGTGTCGGTCCGTGTATTAAACGGTTTTTGGAGAATAAAGGTTACTCTGGTCCTCTCACCATCACTGCCATGGGCACACTAGATGACGTCCCTAATGACATCCTGAGAGGAGACCATACAAGTGGAATCGCTCTTGATTGCATCCCCTACGGTTAGGATTTTTTCATCCTTGTGTCTTTTCTTAGTATTGGATGTTGAAGAGAGAGTCTCAAGTCTTTAAGTTTCTGAAACAGGGTTTTCAATCTCTCTGGAACGTCATATTTATGAGTTTATCGATCGGAATCCACCTCCAGCTAATGTAATGGTGATATCCGATGCAAAACAGTCCGCTTCTGATGCTGTTTTCGTGCTACAGTCGAAGGGATACAACTTTGTTGAGCCGGTTCCATGTGATTCTCTTGAAAGCGTTTTTCTGGCAGGTGTGTGTTTGTCCTCTCTCTCTCTCTCTCTCTCTCTCTCTCTCTCAGTGTTGTTGAAATGAAAATGAACAGCACTAGTACTACTGGCTACAATCTGTTGGTCAACTAACTGGCTGCTTTTATGTTTTTCCACAGATTCAGAGGCACTTGAGGGGGATAAGTGCAGTGAAACAAGTGAATCCTTGCTGGGGGACTTGCATTGCTGGGTATGCTACCGTGATTTTCCTCGCCAAGACATTGATAGTTTCACCAACCATTTCTCTGGTACATACCATCAACAATTGGTAATCAGGCATCCTAGCCAAACTGGACGGACTTATTGTAACAATTCATTTTGTTAATGTCTTAGCTATTTTTGAGTCAAAACAACTTCTTCTTGTTTTGTGTTTGCCTAAATTTGACTGGATGTGCATTTGGTTTTCATGCAGTTGTCTGACAGGATAAGTGAACAATGCTTGGATGCACCACTATGTGAGCCTCTTAAGGAAAACCGGAAGGCTGTAACATCGGTCTATTGGGACATCAAGAGGCGTCCGGTTCCACTTGGCTGTGATCCTCATTGTGTCGGTCTGTGTATTAAACGGTTTTTGGAGAAAAAAGGTTACTCTGGTCCTCTCACCATCACTGCCATGGGCGCACTAGAAGACGTCCCTAATGACATCCTGAGAGGAGTCCATACAAGTGGAATCGCTCTTGATTGCATCCCCTACGGTTAGGATTTTTTCATCCTTGTGTCTTTTCGTAGTATTGGATGTTGAATAGAGAGTCTCAAGTCTTAAGTTTCTTGAACATGGTTTTCAATTTCTCTGGAACGTCATATTTATGAGTTTATCGATCAGAATCCACCTCCAGCTAACGTAATGGTGATATCCGATGCAAAACACTCTGCTTCTGATGATGTTTTCGGGCTACAGTCGAAGGGATACAACATTGTTGAGCCGCCATGTGATTCTCATGCAGATGAAAGCGGCTTTTTTCTGGCAGGTGTGTGTGTGTGTTTGTCAGTGTTGTTGAAATGAAAATGAATAGCACTACTACTGGCTACAATCTGATGGTCAACTAACTTGGGTGCTTTTATTTTTTTCCACAGATTCAGGGGCACTTGAGGCTTGCGGTGAAACGAGTGAATACTTGCTGGGGATTTTGTATTGCTGGGTATGCTGCCGTCGTTTTGATAACCTTAAAAATTTCACCTTTCATCTTGCTTGTAAGCAACATCAACGTAAGGTAAATCAAGCATCCTAGCCAAACTGGACGGATTTGTTGTATTAATACATTTTTGTCATTGCTTGCAAGTAGTCTTGTTGCCCTAATTTTTAACCCCCCTCCCTCTGCATTTGTTTTTTAAGCAGTTATTGAAGTGGTCTCAAGTTGAAGAAGAAGAACTGAAGAAGGCCCAAGGTGTTTTGTTTTAAATTGAAGATGGTTCAAGTTGATGTATTTTATTGATTCTATCCTTCAAATGACAATTTACCATGAAATTGGTTTGGTTCAAACCTTCGCATCTGCACTTTGCCCTAAAAATGGTTTTGTTCGTAACTTCTTTTATATACTTTGTTCTTTTAGTCTTTATTTCGCCCGATTATCCTAACGTACAAGGACTTAGGACTTCGAATCTATATAGGTATTATAACTCTTTTTTTTTTTTTTGGTATGAATTGAATGTAAAATTGTATCCAAACCAAAAAAAAAAAAAACTGTTTTACATGAGCTGCGACTCTGAAACACATTTATTTTTTTAAGAAAGTTGGATCAACTAAATTTAATCATGTACACAGTGGAAGTGAAATTGAAGTTGGCGCAATTAGTGCGACGGCCCAATAACGTAGAACTAAACCCGAATCTGTTACTCGCTAAATCAAATTCAATCAAATTATCTTCCAACTGGAACCCTCCGATCACCACAGAGGTTGACTCCATCAACGAAACCCAAACAGATGACGTCATCACTGACACTCACCATCGAGTTAGCTCCAAAGATCCTCCAAACGACGTCGTTGCTATGAAGCAGAAGCTGAATCTCCGGCACGGCGTATCCCAGGCGCGTGACGCCGTGTTATAGGAAAATGGTGAGCTGGGATGACGTGGAAGCTTTATGAAATCTAATTGGTGGAGGTGTAAGTTGTGAGTTGGCAACTAATGATTGGCTGGAAATGAGGAGAAGAACTGAAGCTAAATAGAATTCGAAGATCGATTGTTTAGGATAACCAGAAAATATCAATTTGTGTAATCTTCTTCTTCTTCTTCTTCAATTCTCTCTGTAAACTCTTAGGGTTTGATATGTCATTGTTGATAGAGCTGTTTCTACTTCTAAGCTCTATCACATGAGATTTGGATTCTCGTTTTATGAACGACGATTCAATTTGTGTTGATTTTCAAGTGATTGATTGAGTTGCAGTTTCTCTGCATCACGCCGACGTTCTTCGTGCTGAAACACGCGTCGCCGAACGGTTTCTCCGACGCTACTCTCGTGATGTTCCTCGCCGCTGTTTGTTTGACGAACTCCGACGTAAAAGCTTTGTAGATCGATGACTCCAACACCGTATATGGATTCACGGAGCTGATTTTGGTTCCTCCGAATCCGATACTTGCGTTAATCTTCAGTCGTTGGAACTGTTTTTTCTCGACGATTTTAATCGCCGTCACGCCGATGAAATACTCTGAGGATTGATGAGAAGCGGCGTCGTTTGGAGACCTTTGCCGGAAGTTAGACAGACGGCAAATTTCCGGCTGAAGCTAAACGCGGCGGCGAATTGCGGCGGTAAACCGATGTTGTGACGACCCATCCCGACGGTTCCGCTAGCAAGTCCTTTAAGAAGAAACGTTGCTCCACAATCGAAGATAAAATTGGTTATCTGTAAGTAATGCCGCCGCAAGTGTTGTTACTACAGCCAGGTCTGGGAGGAGAGAAACATGTGCCGCAGCTGGTGGAGCCGGCGCGTGAGCACTCGGCGTAGTTGCAACGAGGAGATTGGTAAGTGGAAGAGACGTAGTCTTTGTCGCAGTCCACCCAGAGTTCTCGACCACCGAGGTCGAAGACGACGGAAGCGGGGACGAGAGGTGTGCGTTGGTTGATGACGGTTGTGTACTGGAGGGTAGATTGGTCTTTTGACACTGGGAGAAGGAGAGCTTTGGGACGGAAAGATGGTTGAGCAGATGAAGAGAACAAGAACGGAGAAGACGCCATTGTTAGAGATGATGAATGTTGGGTTTGAAGAAGAGGATTGGTGTGTGTGAGTGTATTTTTTATAGAGAAGGTTTTGCAATTTTCTCTTTTTGTCGGCTAATTTGAATAATTGGATAATGGTGTGTGACGTTTCATGATTTTGCTTCTCATTTATGTGAAAATGACACTAAAAAAATTATGGTATTTGGAATTTGATTGCCATGTGAGTTTTAACTTTGATGTGACTTGAAGGTGACATAAAATGGTGCATGTTCTTGATTGTGCCTCAATACTGGCCTTTTTAGAACAACCAGTATCACCAAAGCATCTTTCTTTATTCATAGTCTTTTCCTAAACTCAAAAGGTTTTACAATAGAGTTTCAGGACCAAAATAGACAGACTTGACAGTAAAAGCACAAACATTTGAACAGACAGCATTTGGTTTGGTTTCCATTTTCATGACAATGTATTCATTACTTAGTTTGGGGATTTGTACCATCCCCATGGGTCATTTGAAGTGTAGAGAGTCACTTGCTTCACACTCAAGTAGTTATCAAGCCCCCTGAAGCAAACCAGCCCAAACCAAGATTTGTTCAGTACAAGCCATCAAGGTTCAGTCTTTTAAAAACAAGATTCGAGACAGAAAAAAGAGATGTACCATTCTCCAAGTTCTCGTCCAAACCCACTGCGTTTGACACCACCCCATGGGGCTTGGGTTAAAGCATGGCTGCGAGCAGTTAATCCAGACAATCCCAGCTTCAAAGGCCTAACAAAGTAGAACCAATTATTTGTGTTATTAGATGGCATTGTTATTTCACTTGCTAATCATTTCAAAAATCTGAATGGTTCAAGAAACCGGTACTAACCTCGCTTACACGGTCACATCTTTCCGTGTCATTAGATATCACTGCAGCTCCTAGTCCGTAACTGTCATTTATCAACGAATGATTTCAGCCTCATAAGATCTTAAATGATAAATTTCATTAAAACACCTGTGGCAATGGATGGGCTTTGATAATATTTCACTTTCTGGAGAAACGTTATCTTACTGGGAGTCATTTGCTAGCTCAATTGCCTCTTCCTCACTGGCAAACGTTTTCACGCAAAGAACAGGCCCAAAAAACTCCTTCTCTCCAGATTTGCATTGAAGTCGTTACATCAGTTATGATGGTTGGTTCAATGAAGAAGCCCTTTCCAAGATGCTGTGAGATATAGATATGATATATAGGTCATCATCATCGCCTGGAAGAAACTGTATCAAGGATAGGTAAGAGAGGGGGGTACAATACCTCAGGTCGAGAACCACCATGCAAGATCGTTGCTCCTTCACTCTTAGCTGCTGAGATAAACTTCAATATCTTCTCGTACTGTATTTTTTTTCGTTTCTCAGCTCATTCAGATTATATGATTATAGAATTTGGAGCACATCTACTAAGTAAAAACATGACAAGCCTGATGAAGCATCATATGCAAGATGTCATTTGACTGATTCTCTACAGGTTGAGCCATTCAGACTTACAGGGACAGGGACAAAAGTTAATCACTGTACTACAGAACTCAATCTATGAAAGATTCCAACTTATTTTAAGTCTCACAACAAATATTTTTTCCCTTTTTCGTCCTGGTTCTGGTAATGCATATAGGTTTAGCAACCTGATGGAAAAATGGTAAAGGATAGGAAGTCAGAAAAAAACGATCACTGGCTTTTACCTGTCCTTGGCTCACGACAGGACCAAGCCTGCATCCTTCTTCCATGGGGTCTGAAATTTTAATGTTCTTACTCCACTTTACAAGCTTTTCTATGAATTCAGATGCGATGCTTTCCTAAGATAGAAAATATAAAATGTCATAGACACATTCAACATAATTTGACTAAGGTCAGCAATTCTATCTAGCAGTGACTTATCCCTGTTGGCATATCCAACCCGAAGTTTTGATCTCAGATAAATTTCATTGTCATTGACCATCATGGAAACATCTTACAAAATAACTTGGAACATTCACTTCTCCAGTGATAAATATTACCGATGTAGTATTGGGAAGTTCAGGTTCAATCTTAAAAGCAAGCTGAAGATTGGCACTTACATGAACAAGAAGACGGGAAGTTGCACTGCAGATCTGACCATTTGTCCAGAAGCAACCGAAGAGAGCCCATTCAGCAGCTATCATTCAACGGCATAAAAACACAAATAGTTCAATTTTAAGATTAACCATATTTATGTCATGTCTACTCTGAAAGCAACAAATGCCTTAGTACTATCTTGAATATAGCACAAGAAAAGTTATCTAACGAAAATTCCAAATTCACTACACTACTTTTTGTGACATTCACCTTTATCAAGATCAACGTCATCAAACACAATGAGAGGGCTCTTCCCACCAAGTTCCATAGAAACAGGCTGCAACAATGCCACGAGTGATGTGTCACTGACGAAACAAAAAAGAAGACAAGAAATTTATACGATTTTCAGAAATCTGAATTACCTTCACCAACTGAGCAGCAGCTGTCATGACCTTACTTCCTGTGGCAAAACTTCCAGTAAATGCAATCTGCCAAAAAACCATAACTTTTCCTTATAGCTTCTAAGAACCACAAACGTTACACTGAAGTGATGGTGTAATCAGTAGCCTGTTTAGTCAATTGTGTTGGGCCTTGTGTTTAATGTATGTCTCAAAGAACAATACCTTGTCCACTCAGGGGTGTGATGCCAAAGAAGCACCAGCTTCCGAACCTAAACCAGTCAAAACATTGAGGACCCCAGGAGGAAGACCAACTTCTCGACAAATATCAGCAAGCTCCAAACAAGTACTGAAATTAAACCATGAAAAGTGTGAGAGCTCAAAGAAGGACCACTGCAGAAGCATAACAGCAAAACAGATTATACACAATTACGTACACAGATGCCAGCTCTGATGGCTTGAGAATCGCAGTGCACCCTGCAGCAAGTGAAGGAGCCACCTTCCAAACAGCCATCAAAAGGGGGTAATTCCTTTAACATCAAACCAGGTCCATGAGTCAGTTCCTGGTCAGATAAAATAGAATAGGTGCCATATAGATTCGAACAAGTTAGCCCCAAAAAGGAAACTAACAGTAGTTACCATGGTGTAATAAGTCCCACAACTCCAAGAGGTTGCTTCAGAACATAACTCTTAAAACTCTCCATGGGAAGCGAGACTGGTGCTTTCTGCTTAGCATCTAACCCTTCAGCAAGATCAGCATAAAATTCAAAACATCCAGCAACATCATCCTGCAAAAGATCAAACCTACACAGAAAAACCTACATTTCACAAAAACAAAATAGAAGCAACAGTACCATATCCCATACTGCTTCATCCAATGGTTTACCACAATCAAGCGCCTCGAGCTTTGCCAGATCCGTCTTTCTTTCATTAACCTACACATATCAGATACAGAAGATTAAAACTGATTACACAAAAGTCCAAACAAAATTGAGGCTTGAAGATATCTCAACACAGCATCACAATCACAAACATCAAATGACTTACCTTAGCAGCAATAGCACGTAAAAACTTAGCACGAACAGCTCCAGGTGCTTTGGCCCAATCTTTGCCTTTATTCCTTGAAAATGCTCTTCGAGCAGCGTTGACTGCAACCTCCGTTGTAGCTGCAGGAATATCACCTACCTCATCCAACACATACAAATCCTTGGATCAACTTCAACGAAAATTCATGGAAGTAAAGAAGTCGATACAGCAAAAAAAAAATGGTCATTTATAGAGTTAGAATTAAGCTAAATCTCTACATCGAACTAAGAAGTAAAGAAAAGTAAAAAATTTTACTTGGATCTAATCGAGTTGTGCCGGATTTTGAGAAAAGGGCTTACCAATGAGCTCTTCAGTAGCCGGATTGACGATCGGGATTCGGTTCTTCAAGATGGGTTCTCTCCATTCGCCGTCGATGAATAGCTAGCGAGTAGGCATCGGAATCGCCATTGTTCTTATCTGAATCTAGAGCTCCGGATCGTGGATTCGCGCACTTCAAGATTTGGACTTTATAAGTAGCTTTCACTAAAGAAGAAGACTAGAGAAGGATCAAAACGAAACGCCTCCTTTTTTTCTTTTTTCTTTTTTATGCTGACACCAAGGTCGATCAAAGTAATTGGATAATTAGATAAGAGGTGTTTTAAGTTCCAAAAAGTAAAATAGAAATCAAATTATCATTTATGAACTAACAATATATATAACTTTTTTGATGAAATTAGGAAACTAAAAATCATACACAAGGTTAATTAGAAAAGGATTAGAGATCTTTAAACGTCACTATTATTTTGCTTTTTTTCCAAGAAGAGAAGATAAGAGGTAAATCGAAATTAGAAAAGGAAATAAACATATATATTCCAAACGCTGAGTATAATGGCTTTGTTTGCTAAATATACACCTTTCAATAAGAAATTAGAAGAATACACACTTTTAAAAAATATTTTGAGAAATAGACACCTTTTGCTTTTTGTGAGATAGAGTGTTGTGTAATACGCTAAACGACAAAATAACATATCAAAGATCAAATTAACCTTGTGTAATAGAGATACATATGTTTGTATACACTTTTATTTTATTTTTCTTTCCTCTTATCTTTTTTTTTGGTATTCTCTTGTTCTTTAAGTTTTTTTTTTTTAATGCTTCAAAGAGAGAAAACTATTTTCGTTGGTGTACATCACCAAATTGAACATGATGGTCGACAAGTGTGATGTACACCATTAAAATGAAGTAATGGTTTGTATATTCTCTTTTAGTGTACACCAAGTTTTGTACATGTCGTATACCAATCTCGTATCCTTGAATCATCGTGTTGTACACTAACTCTCGTACACCTGATCATTTCGTACATTGATTTTTGTACACTATCTCATAGACCATCAAGTACACCGACGAAAATAGTTCTCTCTTTTATAGACGTGGTGTACAATATGTGTGAAAGTAGACGGTACACGATATGGTGGTACACCACTATAGATTATCGTTTGTACACCGTCATACCTGGTATACCACTTCTTTCATCAATATCATACATTGCCTTTTCCATTATTGTCGTACATATCAGAAGCAGAACTTGCAGCCATAACCATGGTTGTTTTTCTAGGAATAGGTCTTGTTTGTGGCTCTGTTATTGGTTGGCTCTGGCTCATCTAAACTTTTTATTGTATACATCAAAACTTATTTTGTCGAAGAATCGAGCATATAAAGCTAGCATATGACTGTCGCAAACTTTTAACATAGTAACAAAAAAAGAATACTACTTTGATATATCACTTCAATTTAGTTTCACTCACTCAAATTTTTCTTAGACCCTAGACGTGGCAAATTTTATGCGCTAACATGGTAGTTGTTTTAAAAATGTCACACATATATAGGTATGAAACTAAAAAATGTCACATATATATATATATGTATAGTTTCATAATATAAATTAAATTGGAGTAAAATATCGAAGTAGCCTCTTTTCTAGTACTAGTGCCCATTACCTGAATCAATATTTTCCCCAAAAATAATGTACTGAGTACAATGTATGTGCCACTGTTCTAATTACAAAATCAATAAAATATACTATAAGATATAAAGTGGGGAAGGAATCAAAATTCACTTGCGGCGTATATTTATAGGTGAAAATTAAATTTGTTTGAAAAAGTGATATAGTTTGTGTGTATTGCGATTAGTTTCCATTTAAAAAAACCGTAAATTAATAATTGTTTTGTGTGTGTAATCTTTTAAACATACTTATCAAAATGCTCATATACAATTTAAAGTAAACAATATAGAAATAGTATTTATAGTCTTGACAGTAAAAAGAGAAAATGAGCCTTCAATAAAAAAAAATCTATTATGAATAATTATATGCAATATATGTATGCCCATTATATGGTCCATTAGTAGGTTTTAGAAGACTTAATCTCTAACCTAAACCCTAATGTTGTATCCCTGTATATATGTTGTACCTTGTACAATTGATCAATAACATAGAGAAAAAATCCCTAAAATCTCTTTGTTTATAACAAAATCAAATATTTCCAAACCTCCTAAAATTCTGGATATTTTATTTATTAACCATACAAAAAAAATTTAATAGAAAACACCACCAAAATTGAAAAATAAAGCTATAAAGTTATGTTAGAGAAAACAAACATAAAGCCAAAACACAAATGTAGACATAGAAGACACATTTTTTGAACGAATGTGACACATCAATCTTTTTAAATCAACTCTATACGGTTATACCTCAATAATATATTGTTTCAATATTTAGTTAGAAAACTGTTTTGGTAGCTGAAATCCCATTTGAGAACGCTTAGTTATTTTGAGAAGAAGTGGAGAAGATAGCTACGTCACCAGAGTAGAAACAGCCACTTGAGTCATGGCTAAGAACATGAGCTTCACCAGTCACTTTAACACGCCATTCTTGACAGACACAATGAAGTTGTCACTGGGAACGCCAACATGTCTACACGGATGTAGATACCACCGTTTTCAAGTCTCTTAGACTCAAGTGTGGCATCAATATCGGACCCGTCAAGCTGGGCTCTGCTCCACATATATCACAAACAACAACTAATTAATATTGTAATGTAGACCAAACCAAACACCCCTATATACAATGTAAGTCTCTATATAAAACTAATAATAATTCTAAATTTTCCAATATATAACATAATCTTTAAGAGGAATTATGTGGGTACCATTAGAATCCGTACCATGAGGAAAACCATGATGACCCGTGCCACCTATAACCAGAAAATCAGAGTGCAAACATTATAATTAAGTAAACTATATTTCAAAAGTTGATGGATGAAAAAACAGATATAATTATAATATAATTACCTTCTCCCTCTCGTATCGGTGTTTTGTATGTTTAAAGGTTGAAAAATGAGGAGTATTTATAGTGTTTTGATAGGTTAGTAGGGTTTTGAGTTAGAGAATATTCAAAATCTTGATGAGCAAATTTTTGATATCTTTGGAAATCTTTAAATCGTTACAAACAAAGAATATGCTACATATACTCTTAACCAAATAAAGATAAAATCATTTAGTTATGAGACATTTCTAAATCTTTTAGTTGGATTAAATATCGAATTTATATAGTTCATTTTATTTAGGATCCGATTTATACGTTTGTTATAATTACATATACGATTTATATATTTACTAAATCAATTATTTAATTTTGTTTGATTTTTTTTAGGAAAATCTCAAATAATGAAGGATCTAAATGACTCAAATCCGGGTCAAAATCCTGATTAAAAAAAAAACATGACTCGCAAAAAATGAGCAATTTTTTCTTCATCGATAAAAAAAATTAAATGATTTATTGTTTGGTTATATTTTAGATTGTACACGTTTTTTTTTTATTGATTGAGTAATATATATTCGTTTTAAAAAATTTGAATCACATCATATGCAGAAAAAAATCTAAAATTTATTAACTATATATATTTTATAATAACTAAAAATAATATAAATATAAGGTCAAATAAAAGTGAAATGAGAGTATGTTTAAATTAGGTAGAGAAGTTTTATGGGATTAGCTCAAATTTGTTATATTAGCATTAAATTATCAAATTTGATTTCCTTATCAATAAAAAATAGTAAAGAATATGCCATAAATAAAGAGTTTAGGTGTAGTAATTAGTAGAGAAAAAGATATATTTTTTAGATTTTATGAATTAATTTTGTTTTTGGGATTTACCAAAATATAAGGAAAGATCCGATTGAAGATTTCCGGGTCAAAAACTAGAATAAAATCTGACCCAATTGTATTCTTTAAAATGTACTTCAAAAATGTTAAGTAGATATTCACTTGTATAAGTAATCTTAGATTATAGTACGTTATTTTATCATCTTCTTGGATTATAAATATTTAGTCTTTATATGTAGTAGTACTGTATATGTTTAAGAAATTTTATTATTTATTATTCTTCCCGAGGATATGGATAACAAGTGTACACCCATTTGCTTTTGAGCAAGAGATTACTTTACATATTTTTTAAAGTCTTCTGACTTATGCAGTGATAAGTTTTCGATATGGCGAAAAAAGTGTCTATATTATGAAATTTAAATAGAAAAAAGAGAGTATAATAAGGAAATATAAGGAGTATAATTGGTTGATTGTGAGTAAAGCAAAGTGTTGAAAACAAAGGAGAGGGACAAATAATGAACTTTGGTTATAAGTTATAACGTTAAACATTATCCACCAACATCATATTCATATTCATATGGTGTTGACTGTTGACATTATTAGCTTTTATTGGGTCGTCTCCGCTTTAATTAAGGTTAGAAGCCCAATAGTAAAAACCCTATCTCTCAACAATTAGGGGTTCATTACCCTCTTGAGAAGCCAGCCGCTATGAGTATCGGCCGCTGTCCCAAAGAACAATGTAAGTTTCAGATCTTGTTTTTTTTTAGTTTCCATAAGAATTTTGATGAATAATTGACTAACACGAGTATCCTCGCTTCTTTAGTGATCTCTCTGAGCTATTCTCGCCTCTCGTCGTAGTCGTATTATCCGTCCATGAGTCTCCGAAAGAACTACGTAAGTTCTCGTTAAATCTTGTTCTTTTTTTGTTTCCGTAACACTTTGTTCAAGTTTGAGCTTTTGAGTCTTAATGTAATTTCGTTACCTCATTTACAGCTCCCAGGGTTCTTACCCTGGGACTATGAATCAGTGCCTCTATCACGTCACACTGACGTCGCAGAATTCATATCCAGCGTCATCCATTTTCTAGAAGAAAATGGCTTCCACGGTTCGTTCGACCTTCTGCCTGTTCTCTCCTTCGATGAACAGAGTAAGATTACCTCTAGAGTAAAGAAAGCATTAAAGCGTCTAGGCATATTCCCTCATTTCGTCCGCAAAATAGGTGAGCCAAGAGAACAGCAAATTTCTGATATTGAGATCCGTAGAAGAATCAAAGCATGGTATGAAGGTCACCTAGCTAACAATACAAGGGGTGTACTTGGTTTGATGGCGGCTGATGGAGGTTACATACCTCAGCTCCTAGAGATTCAGAATGAGGGTGGTTTTGAGATTGTTATAATCAATCGCCCAGGAGTGGCAACCCACTCTTTCTACACAGTGTTGTCGCAATTTCCTGTCATAACAGATTCTGTAGCTATGGTCCAAAGGTATCAGAATAGTGCTGGTTTAGCTAGTGGATCTGGTTCTCGTTTTGGTGGTAATCGTTTTGGAGGTAATGGTGGACGTGATCAGGGCGGTTATGGCTGGGGTGGACGTGATCAGGGCGGTTATGGCTAGGGTGGACGTGATCAGGGCGGTTATGGCTGGGGTGGACGTGATCAGGGCGGTTATGGCTGGGGTGGACGTGATCAGGGCGGTTATGGCTGGGGTGGACGTGATCAGGGCGGTTATGGCTAGGGTGGACGTGATCGGGGCGGTTATGGCTGGGGTGGACGTGATCGGGGTGGACCTGGTCAACACCAGGCGTCAGAGTACTGTGGCCCTCTCGCCATCACGGGTGAATCCGCCATTCAGCCGTTTCCATATGGTTCTCCCGAAAGCTTACTTATGGAATTTGGCAAAATATTTGACAATTTGATCACACATCTATCTAGTGAAGAACACCATGAGCTGCAGGTAATCATCAACCATCCTGTTTTTTTCTTTTGACTTGTTACAATTAGTCACTTGTTCTTTTGTTGTTCAAGCTGGCTTGGACTACTGTGCCTGTGCCTTCTCATCCACCGGTTGCTCCTACTGCCATGGTGAGTAAGCTACCAAAGTCATGTTTTCATTTCTTTATTTTAGATTTGTTTGCCTAAATCTGACCATCATGTTATATCTCTGCTCGAAAACCTCTTACCACAAGTTTCCCTTTCTCGCTTATAGTTTTGTTTGTCTAAATCTGACAACTTGTTCTAGTATTGTTTGCCTAACTTTGACCTTTTGTGGTTAATGTGCATTGGGTTTTTAAGCAGTTGTCCGACCTGTTGCGAATGAGTAGTGGACATTGCTTGGATGCTCAACTAACTGAGGAAAACCTAGTGGCTGTAACATCGGTCTATTGGGACATGGAGACGTGTCCTGTTCCACTTGGCTGTGCTCCTCGTCGGATCTCTCCCATTGGCGCAGTAGAAGACGTCCCTTATGACATCCTGAGAGAAGTCTATCCCAGTGGAATCAGCGTCCCTTACGGTTAGGATCTTTCATCTTTTCATCCCCTTGTGCTGAGTCTCAAGTCTTTAGTTTCTGAAAGTGTTTTCAAACTTTGTTGAAGGTCTTATTTGTGGCTAAAGTGCAAGACGAGTGGGATGTGAAGAAAAGAAGAAGAACTGAAAGGCCTTTGTTTTTTCTTTCTCTTTTCTTTAAAAAAAAATAATGGTGAATACTGAGTTACTTTTGGTTTAAAACACTTGACTGAGTTCTCCTTTACTTTTGGTCGGTTTAAAATGGTGAATCCTCTTAATCGTCTCTGATGTGGAAAAACCTAATGTTAGTATTATATTAATGTTTTTTTTCCTCTTTTCATTATTTTTTTGCACCACTAATCAAGTAATGTGGATAGAGATCATTTAATTGATATATAGTTGGGAGCTGGACTTGTCAAGTATTTATCAAAATGATATTGATTTGGATCGACTGATGAATCCTTCCATTCAATTTCTGATTAGGTAATATCTCGCACAATCAAATACTTATTTACCTATTAAGAGTGTAAAACAAAATACAATATATGAACTAAAACCGTAATGCTAGAAAAACATGCCTCTTTAGTTACCCATCTTGCTCTGTTTCATGAAATAAGCCCCCAAACAAAGCAATATCAAAAGTTGATAGATCTGATGAGTAAATCAGCATAAATTCATAATAACAGCCTTCACCCTTTAATTCATTTGTTCTTCGCTTGGTTATTTATTTAATAAAGCCCAACCAGTGGCAATAGTTAACCGGAAATTTATTTTACTCGAGTCGAATCGGGTCGGGTCAGAAAATCAATATTCCGGCATATTCGATGGCCTTACGTTTTGGAGACACATGCTAGTTTGCCACTGAACCGGAAATGTTAATCACGACTGCCATTTTGGAGTCTGAATGCCACCTCTCAATAGGATAATACTCCTTTACCCTTAATGAATTGAATATCCTTTAATTGAATTAATTTGAAAAGGAAAAAAAAACAATTGAAATCGAGAAATGAATTCTCGATCCAATCTCGAATCTGTGTCTTCCCTTCCCCCGACATTGTTGAAGCTTCTCCCCGGAGCTGAGAGCTCGAGAGAGTGACTGACATTTTCGGCGCAGCAGCTTTACTTATCTCCGCCATTGTTGGATCGAAAGATCGAGAGGTCGACAGATTTGCAGCTCGTCTACTCCCGAAACGCTCCTCCTCTGTTTTGGTTAAGTCATCCATTTCGCCGGCCGTCGCCTCCTCCGTCGCAGCGTCATCTTTCTTCCCCTCCATTCTTGGATCTCGATTGAAGCAAGTAACTTCTTAGAAGAGTATTTTATCTTACGAACAATCTTAAAAATCGATGCTTTGGATACCAAAATTTATCTTACGAACAATCTAAAACGCCAAGAATGATCCTTTGATTTTCCGGTCTGTTTGTACTAATCATAGTTTTGGCTCTTTCATGATTTCACCTTATATATACACAAGTGATCCGAGAAAGACACAACACTTAGTTTCACTGGAAGGTGCAAAGGAAAGACTTCACTTGTTCAAAGCAGACCTTTTGGAACAAGGTTCTTTTGACTCTGCTATTGATGGCTGACATCAGTTTCGAGATTTTTTTTCTCTAAGTTTTACTTCTATAATTTTCTTTTACAATTAGGGAAGTGGATCGGATTGGGTAATCCGTTTTATTAGATTTGGGTCGGATTGTTTAGGTTGGATCTGTAATTTCTAATTTTCTAAAGGTTTTTTTGGACATTTTCATCACTTTTGGTTTTTTTTAAAAAAGTAAATTAAATTAAAGGGAAAAAACCCGGAAAAACCGCCATCTATTTTTTTTTTGGCCGTTTAATACGTGTGTTTTTAAATTTGGAATAAAAATACCTCGTTTAATTGTTGTTGTCTTTTAAATTCTTTTTTTTTTAAATTTTGGTAGATTCATACATCCCCGTTAACGGGTGTTAACGATGGTAACGGAATCGTTAACCATAGTTAAAAAGATAATCTATCCCACGTTTAACCAACAGACTAAGATAATATCTTCGTACACGTTTGAAAAGAGATAGTATATATATACACAAACACTATGGGTTAATTTTTAACTATGGTTAACGATTCCGTTACCATCGTTAACGGCTGTTAACGCGGATGTATGAATCTACCAAAATTTAAAAAACAAAGAATTTAAAAGACAACAACAATTAAACGAGGTATTTTTATTCCAAATTTAAAAACACACGTATTAAACGGCCAAAAAAAAATAGATGGCGGTTTTTCCGGGTTTTTTCCCTTAAATTAAAGGATTATAGAAAGGGGGAAAAACCCGAAAAAACCGCCATTTATTTTTTATTTGGCTGTTTAATACCTCGGTTTATTTTTTTGGAATAAAAATACCTTATATATTTATAGTTGGTAAAAAAATACCTCATTTTTTAATTGTTGGTAGATTCCAACCCACGACTTAACATCCGTTAACGGACGTTACAAAATTATTTAACGGTGTTAAACTTTAACCTTACGTGTTTATACTAATATATAGTATCCGTTGTAGATAATTACAGTTATGTTGTCCTCGTCTAGTGGCAATGCGTTGGTTTTGTAAAATACAAGACCATGGGTTCGACACTCCAACTTTTGTTTTTTTTTTTTTTTTTTTTTTCTGTGTCTTCCTCGACAACGTTTTGCGTCTGCCATTTTTTTTATTTATTTTTTTTTTTCTCCGAATCCCAAATTATTGCCTTCCATCGTCTCCGATCATTTTCGTGGTGCTTGCGTCGTCTGTAACCGCAATTACACAAGTCGAATCCATTTCCGAAAGAGTCTTCCTTTGAAAGAAGAACAACCGATTTCCTGACATTTAATTGTTGAATCATGGCGGCTACCAATGTCATGCGGCGAGATGAGAGCCTTCTTATTGATCCCCTTAGAGGTAATTCGAAGTTCAATTTTGATATATAGACCCGTGTTTGGTTTCATTCCCTTAAATTCGAGAACTATCTGTACTGGGGAATTAGGAAGGAATTGTTTTTTTTTTCGTTTCCTCGGATTGAATTTCTTTGGGTTTCACTTGCAGGAGATACTAGTGTTTCTCGTGGCCTCTCTCTTGAGAAGAAAATTGAGGCCCTTGAGAGCCTGGCGGGACAAGTGAGTGCCTTTTTTCACTCTTGTTTCATTTTCTTCATTACATTTACTGTCGAACAGCCAAAAAAAATTGTCATCTTACTAATACTTGAGATGTGATATATATATGCTTCATTATTCATCTGAATCTTTGACGTTCTGTTCTTGTGGTGCCCTATTACTTGACTAGTTCAAGCCGTTTGGCTTTGTTTGGAAGATGTAAATTTAATTGTCGGAGAGAGATTTCACGAATTTACACCCGTTTTTCTCCCTTTTCGTGGTGTAGTTTGGAAAGGGACCTTGGAAGTATAGTGAATCTATTTAAACGACTGAGAGTAAAACTAAACTTTTGAATATTAACGCATGTGAAAATTAAGCAGTATCACTGAAAATGTACCTTTGTATAGTTGAAATGTTATGGTTGATATTCTTGAGAATCCACGTATGCGCTTATCTAGTTGTTCCTGAATGATCCCTCTTTTATACAAAATTCTAGGAATTGGAGCTGTATGAAAGATTGTGTCTAATATTCTATATGGTTTCAGTTATGGGTAAAGTTGAAGGACAGGGTGAATCTTGGCATGGTCATGTGACAGCCGCCACAGTCTCTCCAGAATATCTCAGGCAGCAACTCGCATAGAAACTGATGAACCTTCTCGAAGATATCAGTGATAAGATGTAAGACTTAACAGAAACAAAGCTTCTCCAGTTTTAGTTTTCTCTTTGATATGGATCGTTAAGACTAAATAAAAGATGGAAGCCTTAATATATTGATATTGGCTTTCAAGCAGACCATCTATTTTTTTTGAAAACCGATTTTTAGATACAGTACTTTCAAAGGAAGAAAATCTTGAGTTGCTTCTCATTGATTTTGTATTCTCTGGTACATTATACTCTTCTTAATGATTATTATACTTGTGGTTATTGTCAGATTCTTTGTTGAAGAGCGTGAAAATTTCCATTTTTGTGACTTGCAGCAGCAAAGGAGAAGCTAGTGAAGAATTGCAGTTGCTGAAATCAGGCGCTTCTGGTTTTGTTATTTCGTTGAAAGATCTGCGTTCTTCTAGGGATGTAGCTCTTCGCCAGTGTCTTGATGGAGCTTATGTTGTAAATCATGAGACACTTCAATAAGAATGAAAGCATTCTTAACGATAGTGACCTGCCGGAGAAAAACAATTCTCCTGGGTTCGTAAAACTAGAGGACAAGCATAAACAACTAATAGAAATGGAGAAATCACTGTTGAGAGAGACTATTGAAATCATCCAGAAGGCGGCTCCACTGGTGATTTTTATTTCAAACATTTGGTAGTTGATGTCAATTTTTTGAAATGGTTCTTAAGTAGATTTTCTGTGGTTACAATTATATGGTTTAATTTGCCTCTTCGACTATTTTCAAACAACAGATGGAGGAAGTCTCCCTTCTAATTGATGCTGTTTCTCGGATTTATGAGCCGTTTCTGATGGTTATAGTGGTAATTCTGCACTCAACTCCGTCAAATTGTGATTCCAGGAATTTGCATTGGTATTAGCTCAACATTCATTAGAAACAATTTAGTTACAACTTTTGCCTGCACTAGATAGCTTGAGATAGATCTCTGCTAAACAATGGGCATGCTTCTAGTCACTTCTTCTTTAGTGCTTCTCAATATCTTCGTTAGTCCCCTATGATGTTTCGCTTCTTCTTTTGTTCTGTCTATGCTTCTCTTCTTATTTTGCTTATGGATCTGGTTATAGGAGAACTGCATTTTTCTTTAGTGTACCATCTGCTTGTGGACATAGTTTTTTCGCTTTCTTGTGACTTGTGAGTATGCCGTTCTTCTAGCTATTTGGTTTGGTGGTTAAAAAGAGTCAAGAAATTATCATGTTTCGTCTAAATTTTTTGAAGCTTTGCATGTGATTTTTAGAGGATTCCAACTAGTTTTCTGTCTACTTTTGCTTTGTTTTTTTTAAACTTGGAATATGTTCTAAGCGCGACATGTAGCTTCTATGATTTAAAATAGTTTTCTTATGGATAATTTATTGGAATCCATAATTTGCTGGTACTAGGGGGAATTTAACTCTGGAAAATCAACGGTTATCAATGCACTTCTTGGGAAGAGATACCTGAAAGAGGGGGTAGTCCCCACTACCAATGAAATCACTTTTCTGTGCTACTCTGACTTGGAATCCGAAGAGCAACAACGTTGCCAAACACATCCAGATGGCCAATACGTATGCTATCTTCCTGCACCAATACTTAAGGATGTGAGTCCTTCAAAACTCTACCATCGCAATCCTGAATTTTTTCTAATTATTTGGAGGAATTGATTTGGGTTGTTCTCCTTTCGAGCAGATATATATTCTTGACACACCTGGGACCAATGTGATCCTTCAAAGGCGGCAGCGTCTTACAGAAGAATTCGTTCTTTCTGTTGACCGCCCTGGCGCCCTTTAACTGAAAGTGAGGTAGAAGTTACAGTTTTGCTTGGCATGTTAGTTGTTGTTTTTGCTCAATATGTACCTGCCTAAGTACCTTGTTAAATCAATTTTTTTTCACGAAAGTAGTTACTTAAGTCATGTATAGACCATCAAGACCTTGTGTAGAGAAGGGGAAGTTGTCACTAGGTTGAATGCATATATCAAGGTTTTCTTGATTATAAATTTTAATTAGACTAATTATTATTTCAAGTAATGAGTGTTATAGCTATTGCTGGAACCAGTATGTTCTTTTGGTCCATATTTTGGTAAAGCTTAGGCCAAGACATATGAGACGTGAGTTGTTATTGGTACATCAAAACTGATTTTGCGTCCGTGGCGAATTGTATGCAAATGATCATCTATGAAAGTACTAAATTATAAATATTTGGTTTTTATTTTGAAAATCGGTAGAAGAAGTTTCAATATTAGGAACAAGTTTCTCAATGTCATCATACCCATGTCATTTCTATCTCTACCTCTGCAGCTTCCTGCTGTCTTGATTGTACTGTATGCTGATTTACACATCTCATTGTGTTTGTCAGGTTGCGTTTCTCCGGTACACACAGCAGTGGAAAAAGAAATTTGTGTTTATTCTGAATAAATCTGATATCTACCGTGATGCTCGTGAGGTTTATCAGAACCAAGATATATGTCCTTTCCTTGATAGTCTTTGTAATTGCTGGATTTTTCTTGACTAATGATTAATTTTACTGCTGCAGCTTGAGGAAGCTATTTCATTTGTTAAAGAGAATACACGGAAGTTGCTTAATACAGAAAATGTGATATTGTATCCGGTGTCCGCACGGTCTGCTCTTGAGGCAAAGCTTTCAACAGCTTCTTTGGTTGGCAGAGATGATCTTGAGGTCTCGGATCCTGGTTCTAATTGGAGAGTCCAGAGCTTCAATGAACTTGAGAAATCAGTATTTGCTTTTGTGGGCTTTAAGTAGGTTGAGTTGAGAAGAGAAACTTAGTAAGTTTACTCAGTCAGAATGGCCAGGGGGAGACACATCTAGTCCTTGTGTTACAGAGAATGATGGTAAAGTCACAGAAGCTAGTGGACAGGTGTCTCCTCCCACAGGTTGTGTTAAGAAATTGCCTAGTAGGCGAGCTGGAGTTAATAAAGAGCCTGTTAAGCGAGGAGGAGTGAAGAAAGAGGCTGCTCGAAGATGTGAGAGTGCGGTTAAGAACAAGAAAGATGATGAAGCAAAAAAGGATGATGGAGACAATATTGAGATGTTGAAAATTTTCATATTGGAGCAACACTTAGAGACAGTAAAAACACTGAAGGCAGAGATTCATAATTGTTTTGCTGGGCTGACTAAATGTGCATGTGGTGGACTGCAATCTCCAAAAAACCACACCACATTGCATCAGAAAGTCGGCAAGTCTGATGTTCAGGTCATAAATTTAGAAGCTGGTAAGACGGTGACGGACAATAAGAAGTGGAAAAGGACTGAAGTGGAGACGGAGTAAGGTGTATGTACGAAGGAAGTTGAGAGCATTGGTAACAGTTACGATAGAATACGATGGGACAAGGCTTACCCATTGGTACAAAACATCATCAGGAGCATTGACACATTAGACCAAGCAAGTTATTTCATGTATTTCCTTATCCATTGTTTACAATAAATCCTCGAGATCATTGAAATTGGTTGTGTGTTCATTAGGCCACTACTAAGGAGGGACGTCCAGAGACTACAACTGACGCCACTGAGAGATGGGAAAAAACTGCAAATGAGGCCTCTGACACTGAGGGTGGACAGGAGGAGGGTGTACATGTGGAGGGTGGACAGGTATGGATCTTTACAGTGTGCTATGTTGTATGGTGTGATCTTTACTGCTTCCAGTGTACATCTTAATTGTTTACACGATCCAGTGTACATCGTAATTGAAATTTGTTGTGTGTCCATTAGGCCATTAAGGAAGGACTTCCAGAGACTACAATTGACGCCACTGAGAGATGGGAAAAAACTGCTAATGAGGCCACTGACACTGTGGGTGGACAGGTGGAGGGTGTACATGTTGAGGGTGGACAGGTATGGATCTTTATAGTGTGCTATGTTGTATGGTGTGATCTTTACTGCCTCCAGTGTACATCTTAATTGTTTACAGGCTCCAGTGTACATCGTAATTGAAATTTGTTGTGCGTACATTAGGCCACTGAGATGGAGGGACGTCCAGAGACTGCAACTGACGCCAGTGAGGGGTGGGAAAAAAGTGCAAATGAGGCCACTGAGACCGAGGGTGGACAGGTATGGATCTGTGTGAATTTGGTTTGGGTGTATAGTCTGGTAAGTTGTACAGAGCTGCATGGTGTGATCTTGACTTGCAGGAAATGGAATTTGAAACCGAATGGGGATCGGGTGATGATTCACCGTTTGCTGAACACAATGCACTTACCATTTTGCCCTCTGGTTTAGAAGATGGGAATGAAGCAATGATTACGGAGCCGGTAACTGATGAAATAGATACATGCGGAGAGGGAGAGGTATGTTAAATTTGAATTTGGCTATAGAGAGGTAAGTTAACATGCGGAGATGTTTAATATCCATAATCATTTGGCTTTTATCAGGTAAATAATTCTTCGTCTCCTCAAACTCCTGAAGAGTTGGTCACGAAGTCGAAGAGAGTGCCACGTGCTTCGATATTCGTCAAGGGAGGAGAGTGTACTGGTGACGCCAAGTTAAAAGCTCTAATCACAAGCAAGCGAAAAACACCAGATTACCACCCCATATCCCGTGCAAACTTGGAGGAATATGACGAGTTCAAAAACATGTTGGAGGAGAATGAGGAGATGTAAGTTCGGCTGTCTATATGTTTGTTTTATCTTTTTTAAATAAGTATCTAACAAAATAGTTGGTTATTGTACAGGTCGTATACAATTGTAACTAAACACACAATAACCAATCGGCATTTCCTGGACATAGCTGAGGCACAAAACCCTTTAAAGACAGAGGTGATTACGTGAACACTTACCTCTGGTGTTGTACACTATTTTCATATGTTTGTAAACTGTAGACTGGATATAATCATTAACAATATGCAATTGGTAAACAGCATATGCAGGTAATAATGTCTATGCTGTGGCGCAGAAGGGAAGACGTGTACACCAGAGGAAGAGCAGTTTTCATTGATACATGGTTTTTGACCCTGTTAAAAAAGAAGTACACCGAATTCAAAGGGTACAAGAAGAAGTTGAAGTTCAACTGGGGGGTGAACGTGAGAGCAATTGTTACTGGCAAATCAAAGGGGCGGTTACCAACGACGTTTCTGAAAAATGTTTACCTGGTGTACATCCCTATGAATTGGTCCACCACACACTGGGTAGGTTTGGTAATTAACTTGATGCAAGGTACAATAGAGGTCTTAGACCCTCTCATTGATGCTAGCTCAGACGAGGAGGTAATGTCTCTGATGGCGCCTGTTGTAGAGATGATTCCATGGTTGGTGAAGGATGCTATAGCTAAGGAGTATACTCAGAAATTCTCAACAAAACCACTAACATGGAAGAGGGTTGCAGGACTATACCAGAACAAGAGAGGAGGTGACAGTGGACCAGTACTAGATTTGGGTGGTGTACGTTACTCTGATAACTGTTTAAATCTAAATAATTATTTTTAGTTCTAATATTTAAATTAATAATTTATTTTAGAATAATTAAATTTAAATTATATAATTATATTTGTGATTAATTTAAAAATAAATATACACGAAAATATGATTATGAAAAAACTAAAGATATACTTTTGAACTAGATTTTAACCCGCGGTGTGATAATTTATTTTTTAAAGTTACTAGATATACAAAATTTTTCAAATTGTATCTCGTTAAAAAATATTAATATTTTATATTTTATAATTATTATTAAATAATGGTATACCACGTATCCACGGGACAATTGTTAATAAACTGAGGATTTAACCCGCATTAAAGCTGTATGTTAATGATATTTTACAATTTTATAAAAATTGATTCAAATCCGTCCGCCATATAAACCCGTTCCGAAATATAAATTCGTCTTTTTTTTTGTAGTTTACGTTGAGAATTAATTAATGAATTTGTTGCGTAGGATTTTATTGTAAACTGAACCAAAATTTGCTTTATCATATGATTTTTTTTTTTTTACTCAAGAGAAATATATTATTAAACTAGCCACACATACAACTGGGCTACAAAAGCCCGATTACAGAAGGTAACAAGGTCCAACACACCCAAAAGAGAATTGCTGACGCAAGAAGAAAACTTCATTTTGACTCCATCGATATCTATGTGTCAACAACATAACACGTGCTAGATGAGTAACCAAAATAATCCGACAACATCCTTCGCCGTCCGAGCACCGATTCCGGTGAAGGAATCACCACCGATAAAAAATCAGACATGGATTTACCTGGGATTTCACCGGGATAAACCAATCGAAGCTTCACAAAGAGAAAACAGCTTAAGGCTATGATAATAAACGACGGAAACCACTTCATTTCTTCAACACAAACTGCAAATCTCCGAATCAAAATCTGTAATCACAAACTCAAAGGAAACGCGCCGGTTCATAATCATCAAAGCGACAAATCGCTTAAACCAATTTCATCAACACACCTTGAGACTTATTGAAAAGAAAAAGACGAAAGATGGTGGAGATAAAGCCGGCCAACTCCTGTTATAAGAACTAGAGGCTGCCGGACGGAGAGCCGGCCAACTCTTGTTAAGTGAACCAGAAGCTGCCGAACATAAAGCTGGCCATCGCCGCTACCGGAGATGCCAAGGAAAAGCCCGACTAAATCGGGAAGGATAGTTGCTGGAAACGATCCAGCCGGCAAAACAAACAGATTGAAACTTCCTCTCTCTAAAAGATGCGAGAGAGAGAAAAGAGAGAAAGTTTTTACAGGGACAACATAAAATACTTCTTTATCATATGATTTAACCGGTTTTAGTTTACATAATAAAAAAACTTAAGATACATAGGATTGGTTGCAGAAGAGTCACATGCTAGTTTGCCACTGAACCGGAAATTTTAATCAGGCCTGCCATTTTGGAGTCTGTATGCCACTACTAATATGTTATTTCGATTTTACCCCTGGAAACCCTCTGAATCATCAAGAAAGCTTAACAAAACAATAATTCAAAAATTCCCGATTCAGAGCCGTTAAAAGCGTCACGGAGGTCACACTTATGGCACGTGCACATTGGTTGATACTCTCTAAGCTACCAACTAAACGTTGTCGTTTCTTTGTTTGCTCCGATCAACGAGAGAGAGAAAAAGAGAGAGGCTTTATTCTTCTTCTTCTTCTTCTTCTTCTTCTTCTTCTTCTTCTTCTTCTTCTTCATCTTCCTCTCTTCCCCGTTTCGATCTCCTCTTCAATGCATCTACGTATCTGATTTGAAAGATTTAACAGTAAGTAAAACTTCAGTCTCCGTGAAATTCTCATCAGTTTGAGAATAACATGGAAATAGATCCAATTGCGATTATAATCAACGAAGGATCAATTACGCCACTCGGGATACAGAATTGAAGTAGCCCCGAGACTCTCCCAGGCACCATTCTCGAGACCAACTCTCCATCTATGTTTTCCGGTGCCGGGATCTCTCTGCTTCTCGATGACCCTTCTTCATGAATCATTTTCTTTGGATCTGTCTCTTTTTCTGTTTTTCAATTCTTTTCTCTCAAGATTTTTCCCTTATATCCAAATCTGAGACATTTCCCCAGAGATCTTTCCCACAACTATCTTTAGATCTTTTAATCCTAAACTTTTCGCGATTCTCGTCTTTCATTTCACTCACCGGCTCCCCTCGAAGTCAAGAATAGCATCTCTATGCTCTTCGCCGTGGGATTCAGATTCTCTCGCCAAGTGTTTTTCTTGGATACGGCGAGACCGGAGCTTTGCGTTGACGCCGGAGCCGATAAAGAACACGACGGCGGAAGAATCAACAATAGTAGACGGACTATCAACTGTAGCAGTTGTGGTTCGACCTGAATATGTCTCCGAACTCCTGATTTTGCTGAACGACACCACCACTTCCGATCTGCCGCCGCTGTCACTGATCTATATGTTTTACATGCAAAGTTATTATTAATAAAACATGTATCATTATTTGTCGAATTTATATAACTAGGTTCCACTGGTACAACTAAGAATATATCTGTATTTTAATTCGTTGTATTTGTACAACTAGGTTCGACTGAGTACAACTAAGACCATCTCTAATGGTCATTTTTTAGGTAAATGTCTTTAAATTTTTTAATATTTAATTTTAATGCAATTCATTGATGAATGTCTTTAAAGATTGTGAAAGTGTCTCTAATTAGACATTTTTCACACATTTTAAAGACACCCATGAACAAATCATATTAAAATTAATTATAAAAAGTTTTGAAGACACTCACAAAAACATAACCAATGGAGATGGCCTAAGACCATAAATGTATACATAGTTCTATACAACAAATATGAAAACGATAAATTAGAGTTAATAACGATTCCAAAAATATCTTGAACTATAAATTAGAGTTATCATTTTTTAATACATACTATTAGTTCAACTAGTTCAACTAGGTACATCAAATTTGTATTTCTTATTAAATTATTAAGTTATAAATTAAGATTTATATAAGAAATTCCCTAAAAACATCTTCAAATATAAATAAAGTATTTAAAATCAATACAGCTAGAATTTATAAATTTTGTAACAAATTTTGTTTTTTCATAGAAAACACTCCTTCTAGTACAAGGAAGACTTAGTACAAGATCGCCTCATATGAAGCAAAAGAGGTGAAAACCAAGTTTTTCTGAACATTGTATTATGAAAACATTCTAAATGATAATTAATAGTGTAACATCATGTGTCCAACTATAAATTACTAATTTTCATTAAAGTTCAACTGGAAATACACAAAAATCGCTAAAGTCCAACTATGAATATAAGAGTACAACTGTACAACTAGTACAACTATGTTTAAAATGAACAATTTTTTTATTAATATCCTACTGTCATTGGCCCACTTTACCACACGGTCCAATTTTTTATTAATATTCCGCCGTCAAAATCATGCTTACGTGGGTCATTTTTAAAAAAAAATTTGGTAAGATGTTTAATATTTTTTAATACCAATTTTTGTTAAATTTTTTTTTAAAAAATTTCTTTTTAATTAATTCAGTTGTACCTAAGTGATCTAATTGTACTTTCTTCTATGTAACATATACACGTAGTTGTACGTAAATAGACCAGTTGTACCTACAAAATCAATTGAACATAAATATAATCTAAATATTTTTTTGGTTTATAAAAACATGAAGTCATATGTTCTTAATCCACAACACAACAAATACAGAAATGAAATACAAAAACATAAGTTATGTGCAATCCTGGAAATGCAAATCATGATTTTGTCACAAAAAGACTTGACTTGTGCTCTTTCTTTCCAGTTCTTGATCAAGCTCTTCCTTCCACTTCTTCTCTATATTTGACAGAGCAACACTGCAAAGCCAAAACCAGCCAATTCAAGCAGATGAAGGAATGAAACAAGAAGCCTAGACAAAGGTCCTAGACTAAGGGAAAAAGTGAAACCATTGCTGGCGGCTAGGCTGAATTTTAAAGAGCAGAATGGTAGCTTTGGAAACCCAAAATGCAACAATTTTGTGACATGGAGGGCAATATCATAGCGTAAGACAAGCATGAATGGGACTTAGTCATGACTTCTTGATTCCTACTGAGTGCTTAAGAGATTTTCACACGGATCAAATCCCATCCAGAAACTAATGTAATCTACTTCCTCGGGTCAAAAACAAAAACTTCATAACCAACAAATTCACACTAAAAAGTTTCATATTTCCTATACGTATCAGAAACTATGAATCATTGACCAAGAGTATTTTTCTTTGATATCCTTAATCAAGTTTAAAGCATTTACAAAACCTAAAAAAAAACAACAAACAAAGCTTATAACAAACAAACGAAACAAACATGTGTAAAAAGATGCTAACACATATGGTATAAAGCTATATTACCGGCATTAGCAGCATGTTCAAGCACAATCTCAAATATGAGACTTGCATTAGCTCCACCTCTCTATGGACATTCCTTGATGTACTTGTTAAACGTTCCAGCATCATGCCACCCTTACCAAACCTATGATTGAATCACAACACAAACATACTATCAACATCAATAAAACGTAGCAATTTCTTAGGAATCAGAGAAGAATTTTTTTTTGAAAAGAGACAAAAAATTGGATGGCAGAATTTGAAATTGAGCAGCTCTTTGATATCTTCTCTAGCATTTTTCAACTGATCTCAAACTGAATATTTCGTAGCGGCAGCTAAGTTAAAGCTCCGATTCACAGACGCAATTCGATGTCTCTTCTAAATTGCAGCAGATATGAATCAAATTAGGTCGCAAAATTATAGAATATGACAAGATATACTTAAAGCAGGGCTAAGATTTAGAAGAGAGAGTGAGACATACCTGAGAGAGAGATGAAGAATAGAGAAGTGGAGAAGAGACGAGAGATCTGGCAAAATAGAGAGAAGAGGAAGCGGAGAGAGCGAGTGTGGATATGGAAGAGGAGGAAGAGCGGAGGAGACGAGAAGGAGCAGAGGAGACGAGAAGCAGCGGTGGTTGTGCGGAAGTAGCCATGGTTGTGATGGTTTTCTGAGGGAATATTGGAGATCGATTGAGAGTGTTTGGTTCTTGGAGATAGTAAAGTTCAGGTTAGGTTTTGTAATTGTAATCTTTTGAAAGGGTTTTTGGGCATTTCCTTAGTTTTTGAGTTTAAAAAAATTGTAAAAGAAAATGGAAATAAGAGGGTGGCATTCCAGCATTTTTTTTTTCCAAAAAGTGGCTTTCTAGCCATTGTTTCGTTGCAGAAGGCCGATTCATATAAACTGTAGGCCCATGAAAACGAAGCCCATTCTCAACCCTATCTAGCCCCCATGAATCTATTATATATACGGGACAATATTAATATTTTTCTTCAATCAGGAATTTCGAAACCCTAGGCGTCCTAGTCGATTTCGAGATCAGACCAAGCCTGCTTATCTCTCGGGTAAATTTCTCGCTCCTGATGATGTTTCTTAGAAAATTCATCGGAAACGATTACAATCTCTGTCTCTGTCGGTGATTTAACCGTGTCAATATCTATTTCTCTGAATAGTGCTTTCTCTGATGATGTTTGATTACCGTTCTCTGAATAGTACTTCTCTTGAAAGCTTTAGATCCCTTGTTTTTGCTTCCTTTTTAGCGTATTTAATCGTTTAGATCTTCTGGTTGATTATTGAGCTAAGCTTGTAGATCTGAGTCTGTTCTCATCAGTTTTTAGTCTCTTTCCGATTTTTTTTTTTTTCATTTTATCCATCTGTTCTAGATTACTGCGATTTGCTTTCCTAGTTTTGAAATTTTGATTATCTCTTGGTTTGGTTAGGTTTTTAGAAGAAGATTCGTCTTGAACGATGAAGAAGGCTACGCACAAGCAGGCTAAGGCTTTAACATTGGTCTTTTGGGACATCATTAAGTGTCCGGTTCCAGATGGTTGTGACCCTCGTGTGATCCGTCCGAGTATTAAACGGCTTTTGGAGAAGAAGGGCTACTGTGGTCCTCTCACCATCACTGCCATTGGCAAACTAGCGGACGTCCCTACTGACACCCTGAAAGCACTCTATTCCAGTGGAATCCATCTTACCATCGCCCCCTTTGGTTAGATATCTTCTCTCATCCTTTTATGCCTTTTGAAATAGAGATAAAGTAATAGAGAGTCTCATGTCTTTATTTTTTTCTCAAACAGGTATCTCTGACATTACACGTTTAATTGAGATCGATGAGACAGCTAATTTTATGGTCATATCCTATCCGAAAGCCTGCCCTGGTTTATTTAAGACTCTACAAGCGTTTGGCTACAACCCTCTCAGGCCGTTTCCATATCATTCTCTTGACAGCTTAATTAAGGAAGGTGTGTGTGTTTCATTCTTGTTGTATGAAATTACCAACAAAACACATGAATCTGTTGCTGATCAAATGGCTACTTTTTTCCCCCCCACAGATTCAGGGATACTTGAGGAGGAAACGGGTGAATCTGCCTCATGGTATTGCCTTGTATGCCATTGTGATCCTCCTGCCCGCGAGTTTAATAATTTCATCACACATCTATCTAATGTAGACCATAAACTTCAGGTAATTCTCATTGTCTACCTGTTTCTTTTTTGCCTTGTTTTTGACCCCATCCCTCACTCATTTAATGTTCCAGCTTAGTACGACTAGGAATACTGTGCGTCCTCCCCCGATTGATCACTCCAGGGTGAGTAAGCGCTACCAAAGTCTTAATTTTTACTTTCTTTGCCTATATTTGACCACCATGTTATCTGCTTCAAAATCCTCTTACTAGGTGCATGTGTCTGCCTATCTGATTGAGCGCAAACTGATGAGGCTCAAACAGGGGCCCACAGACTTGAAGACTGCAAAGTCAGACGGTGAGACGTTGGTCTATTGGGACATCAAGTTGTGTCCGGTTCCCCACGATTGTGATGCTAATCTTGTCGGTCCGCGCATCAAACGCTTCTTGAGGAAAGAAGGCTTCTCTGGTTCTCTCACCATTGTTGCCATTGGCGTACTAGCAGACGTCCCTACTTACATCCTGAGAGCACTCTATTCCAGTGGCATCACATTTCATATCGTCCCGTACGGTTAATATCTTCTCTTCCTTGGCCATTCTACAGTAGTGGATACTTTCCTTGATGATTAGCAAGTGTCTCAAGTTTTTTAGTTTCTGAAACAGGTTCTGCAGACATCCCGAGCCTCATTTTTGAGTGTTGCCATAGGAATGGACCTCTACGTAATATAATGGTCATATCCGATGACATATACTTGACTAATCAGTCTGACGTGCTACATCGACACCATTTTGCAACTTTAAGCTGCTTAATTCTCTTCAAAGCTTTGTCTGGCAGGTGTGTCTTTGTCCTTTCTCACAGTGTGTTGAAATAACCAGCAAATCTGTTGTTCAACTGGTTACTTTTTTTTTTTCCTCAGACTCGGTGACACTTGAGAAGGATGATTGCGGTGTGAAACGGGTGAATCTCCCTTTTGGTTTTGCTCAGTATGCAATTTCCGAAATGTTCCTTGCCAAAGCTTTGATAGTTTCACCAAGCATCTCTTTGGTACCTACCATCAACGGAAGGTAATCATGCTTCCTAGCCAAACTGGACGGACTTATATTGTATCAATTCATTTTGTTAACTATTTTTGAGTCAAACAACTTCTGCACTTTTGTTTGCCTAAATTTGACATTATGTTATCTAATTTTTTGACTGGATGTGTTTCAAGCAGTGGTTGGACAATGTGGCGTATGAGAAGTGTACATTGCTTGGATGCACCACTGCGTGAGCCTCTTGAGGAAAACCGGAAGGCTGTAACATCGGTCTATTGGGACATCAAGAGGTGTCCGGTTCCACTTGGATGTGATCCTCATCGAGTCGGTCCGTGTATTAAACGGTTTTTGGAGAATAAAGGTTACTCTGGTCCTCTCACCATCACTGCCATGGGCGCACTAGAAGACGTCCCTAATGACATCCTGAGAGGAGTCCATACAAGTGGAATCGCTCTTGATTGCATCCCCTACGGTTAGGATTTTTTCATCCTTGTGTCTTTTCTTAGTGTTGGATGTTGAAGAGAGAGTCTCAAGTCTTTAAGTTTCTGAAACAGGGTTTTCAAATCTCTCTGGAACGTCATATTTATGAGTTTATGTGTTGGAATCTACCTCCAGCTAATGTAATGGTGATATCCGATGCAAAACACTCCGCTTCTGATGCTATTTTCGTGCTTACAGTCGAAGGGGATACAACTTTGTTGAGCCGGTTCCATGTGATTCTCTTGAAAGCGCTTTTTCTGGCAGGTCCTCTCTCTCTCTCTCTCTCTCTCTCTCTCTCTCATCTCTCTCTCTCTCTCTCTCTCCCTCTCTCTCTCCTTCTCTCTCTCTCGTCTCTCTCTCTCCTCTCTCTCCTCCTCTCTTTCTCTCTCGTCTCTCTCTCTCTCCTCTCTCTCTCTCCTCCTCTCTCTCTCTCCATCTCTCTCTCTCGTCTCCTCTCTCTC